CGCTCCAAGGCGCTCTATGGCTGCCCCATATGGGCGCAGGATTTGTCGGCGCAGAACCTTGCGCTGCTGAGGCAGTCGCAACGGGTGATGGCGCTCAGGGTGGCGAGGGCGTACCGCACCGTGTCGTATGACGCGGTGTGCGCAATAGCCGGGCTCGCACCCTGGCACCTGGAGGCGGCTGCCTTAGCCGACATTTTCTGGCGCCGGGCTGAAGTCCGGAGTCGAGGCGAGGAGCTCACTTACGAGCTCCTCAAGGATTGGAGGGAGGACGGCCAAAGGGCTGTTGTTGCGCGGTGGCAAGAGCATCTTGCCACCTCCCGGGTAGGCGCGCATACGCTTCGAGCGATCGCGCCCGTCCTGCCCGAGTGGCTGAGGACGAAGCGGTGGGGATCCCTGTCCTACCACGCGGTGCAGATTTTGTCGGGGCACGGGTGCTTCGGCAAATACCTGCACGGGATCCGGCGGGAGGAAACAGTCTCCTGCCATCACTGCGGATGCGCCTCAGACACGGCGCAACACACCTTGGAGGCATGCCCGGCCTGGGCGAGTCCGAGGAACGCCCCCGCCGGGACCATTCGGCGCGGATCTGTCCCTGCCAGCCATTGTGGCAGGGATAGTTAGGAGCGCGGATGACGCTCCGTGGCGGGCCTTTGAGGCCTTCTGCGCCGACGTCCTCTCGCAAAAGGAGGAAGCGGAGAGGGCGAGGGAGATTGCTCCCGACGCCCCCGCACTCCGACGGAGGAGACTTGGGCGGCGCCGGCGCGATTACGCCCGGCGCCAGCCGTGACCTCGGTCTTAGGAATATCTCTAAGTCTAAGGTCTATTGTTGAGAAGGTCATAAACGACCTTCTCAACAATATCGCTCTACCGTCTGGATGCGCAATACAAGCCTACGCCGATGACGTCCTTCTGATTGCATCGGCAAAGGACCTACCAACTTTAGAATACGCCGTTAATACAGCACTCGAGAATATTCGCCTCTGGGGAAATAGCGTAAAATTACACTTCGGTCCCACTAAAACGCAATGTACCTCCTTCACACAAAAATCCACACAGGCTAACATTTTATTTGACAACACTCCCATTTGTTTTTCTAATTCCTTCAAATACCTAGGCCTTATCATCGATAGCAAGCTCAATTTCAATGATCATATAGCATATATAACGAACAAAGCTTTAAAAATTTTTCAGAAAATACAAATATACACCAGACACACTTGGGGGCCCCATCCGGAAAACATCAGAATAATTTACAACAAAGTGATCCAACCAATAATAACTTACGCCGCTAATATATGGGGTCACGTAGCATCCAAAACTACCGTCAAAAATAAATTAATCAGCCTACAACGTAACTTCGCGATTAAAGCCATCCGTGGGTTCCGAACCATTTCAGCCAACGCTGCCATTGCCCTAGCTCGATTCACACCCTTAGATCTCAAAGTTTTAGAAACCCATGAAATAGACACAACCCGCATCAATCGCACTTCAAATAAAATTCCTAATGACATCCCCCCTAGAAAAACCGGCAAACTTTTCGGATTTACTTCATCCAGCTGAACGTATTTCAATTCACACACTCACACCTGATACATACAACCAAATCAATCACTCCGGGTTTCACCACATTTACACAGACGGTAGTAAACACGAGAACGGCTCTACGGGCGCTTCTTTTGTGGCATACCGCCCCCTCGAACGTACACACAAACACGTACACACAAAACTCGTCAAACTTCACCACACCAGCTCTGTATTTCAAGCAGAGCTTGTCGCTATCAAACACGCATGCACATATATACAAAACAAAAACATCACCCACGCTATTATCCACACAGACTCACTCTCCTCAATCTCTGCCCTCAAACAGAGCAACAATACACACCCCATCGTGACAGACATACACAAAACACTTCACCAAATCCAGTACACTCACACCCACAACAATATACTCTTCAGCTGGGTGAAGGGGCACTCGGGTGTAGAAGGGAATGAAGCAGCAGATAAAGCCGCTAATAAGGCTGCAAAGGCTCATAAAGCACCAGACTTCATTTCTTGCCCCATATCTTACATCAAGAAAAAGATCAAAAACGAAACATCAGTAACTTCCCAAACCAGATATTCCAATGAAAATAAAGGGGTCCACACCAAAAATATATTTCCTCTTCTCTCAGATATAGATAACTTCTTTAAAGCCATTCCCGTTTCGTTTCAAATGACGCAATTTCTAACAGCCCACTCTTATGCAAAACATTATTTACACCGTTTTCACATTTCCGATGACCCTCTCTGTCCTTGCGATAATAACTCCAATCAAACCCTCGACCATCTCACAAGACAATGCCCCCGTTTCACCCTCGCCCGACACGTCCATGAAGAGCTTTGCCGGTACGCGGACACCGAGCCTTACGGTATACCCCAAATAATAAAAAAGAATGTTACCTCTAAATCATTTGAAAATTTCGTGAAACACATTATAAACAATTTAAAAAACTTTAATCAAAATACCCGCGATAATTAAGTTAAAATCACCAACACACCTAATTTAAAAACTCCCACGCACTCACCCAGCGGTCAATCCCTTTCACAATATAGCTCAAGTTACTTGAAGCGGCGCCAACGTAGAATCTGTAATTACAATCTTAAGTGTATTCTTTTTAGTTCTTAGACTACTTTTGCTTTATAAAGTCATTTTAAATTTATAGACTGTATAATTTTCACTATATCCTTACATAGCAAATAAGCTAAACTTATATTGTATAATTCTGCCTTCAGCAAACTAACTTTATAAAACAATAAAAATTAGAATCAATTTAGTATTGTATTCCTTTGAAGTCATGGACCATCTTTTGTTAACTAACTTTTGGAACCTAATTTTAAATTTTTGCATTATATAATTATAACTTTATCTAATATAATATATTAAATTGTACACATTTTTAATAATTCTGTATAATTTGTAAATTATAGTATAAATAGCTTCTCACAAATGTTACTACTAGGTTAAGCGACTTATTATGTATAGAATCATTAGTTTATAAATCCTAGTGTTTAAAGGAACTCCGTGGAAAGTTTGTATCAAATAGCAACATCCACGAAGTTCCTATCAATTTAATGTATCAATTTATCAACAAACATAGAACCAAAGTTAAAAAAAACTAACAAAAAAAACTAAAAAACCTAACCTAACCTAACCTAACCTAACCTAACCTAACCTAACCTAACCTAACCTAACCTAACCTAACCTAACCTAACCTAACCTAACCTAACCTAACCTAACCTAACCTAACCTAACCTAACCTAACCTAACCTAACCAGTCGCAGCCCACCGGAGAGCGGAGCGCACACGTTTCGCGTCGCTCCGCACTTTAAAAATCCGGAAAAATAGTCAAAGTGCGAATATCGAAGTGAAATATATACCAAAGTGTAGTGTTTAGTGCCCTCTATTTGGATATGTAGTTTGAACCAGGACCGAAAACTCCGGAAGTTATGAACCCATGTGTACTTTTAAAGGTTATGTTATGGATGATTTTTTGTGGTTTTTTGCGTGCGGCGCCCGATTTGTCGCGATAACCCTATGAACTTATTATGTACTTTTAAAGTGTTTATGGACATCTACAATCTGTCAAAATTTCAGATGTTTTTGTGAAGTTATAAACTTTTTTCTAAATACCACGTGTCAGTGAAAATCGAAAATACAAGTGTCAGCAAGAAGTGTTATATATCGTTTTAACCGCCGTTCTGCGCCCTTTAAAACGGTATATAGATCATGATCAGGCGACTTTTGGTTTTCGAGTTATCAAAGATTTTCGTGGAAAATTTTTTCGTCATTTCTTCGAGAGATTATATCTCGCTGGAACGATCGGTGACACCCCTTTTTGGACTTTTATTATGTTAGTGCTCAGTGCGAAGAACATTCCTGCCAATTCTCAGATTTTTCTAGTGAGTAATTTTGAAGTTATTGACTTTTTTCAAAAAACCACGTGGCGACAAAAGTGACATTTTTTTGCACGAGGGGCTTGTGTTATATATCGTTGGATCCGCCGTTCAACGCCCTTTTCAACGGTATATTGGACATTTTGCTCACACAAAAATTTCTGCCAAAAATTGCTATTTGCAGAAAATGGTCAGCCCACCTTGACTTTGAAAAATTTTTGTGAAGTGCTATAAAGGACTAAATTTATATAAACTGTACTATCTTATAGAACACTTATCCAAGAACACTTTAGACAATTTTCATGACCTTCAGTCGAATAGTATATTTTTAGTGAATTTTTTCCCGGAAGCGGTACAAATCCGCCACTCCCGCATAAGTTTGCAAAGCGCGGTCGCTCGAAACTAAGCGTCGGAGAGCAATTCTGATCACTCTGCGTGAAGCAAATATAAGGGCGACTGACCCCCGGCGCATGTCAGCGTCACCAGAATCGAAGATCTGGAGGCTCCGAAGGGAATAACTCCTGAACCCGAGAGACTGGATTGCTGCTGATCATGGGGGATCAGAGTAGAGGTCCTGGCGCTCCTGCGCCAGGTGACCCCCCCTTCCTCCCCGCCACCATCGAGGAGATTTCAACCATGGACTCTTTTCAATCAGTGATTGGAAAATTGATTACTTGTATTGTAGAAACAATAAATGAAGGAAAACACGTTTCGGCGGCAAATAGGAGGAAAATCGTTGCGGCTGCTGAGGAGGTTCGATCTGCATCCCGAATACTACCCAGTATTATCGGCACATCTCCGTCGTCTCAACAACTTCCGACGGACTCTAGTGACCTTAAAAAGGACATAATTGAGGCTGTACGGAAGGAGATGACCAGCTTCAAGCAGCAGTTTGCTGCTGCCCACCGGCCATCACCACCACCAATGACTCACGCCCAGGCAGTCCGTGCGAATCCTTCACGGCCTGTGATGACTTCTCCACTCATTACCCCTCCCTCCCCTCCCGTTACCAAACCCTCTATCATTGTCTCGTCGAAGAAAGATTCCACCACTTCTTCAGAAACGTTAAACTGCTGGAGGAAGAATGTCTCTTTCCGGGACACAAACTTCACTCCAGCAGGCGTCCACTTTGTCTCCAATGGCAAGTTGCGCGTCGAGTTCGACCGCCCGGAACACCTGGAGGTCGCGCTGAAGAAGATCGGAGAATCCAACCCTGAATTAGAAGCAGAAGTCTCGCGTAAGCTTAAACCCATGTTTATTGTTAAAGGCGTTAGTTCAGATATATCCCCCGATGTTCTTAAAACCTTAATTATTAATCAGAACGACGTAATTAAAAATAATATTGCTAATGAGGCCGACCTTGAGTTTAAGTTCAAGCGGCCTAACAGAAATTCAAATCTCTACAACGCTGTTTTTATCTCAGCTCCCAACGTTTGGCGTCACGTAATCCACTGTCTTAAGCTCAATGTCGACCATCAGAGAATTCACGTTGAAGATTTTACCCCCTTGTTACAATGCTTCAAATGTCTTAAATTTGGCCACACTCGCAAATTCTGTAAAACTGAAGAGACTCACTGCTCCCACTGTGCTAGTTCAAGTCATGAATTTAAGGATTGCCCGCATAAGAAAGATCAGTCAAAATTAACCTGCTATAATTGTAAGTCTTATAATGAAAAGAACAGTGGTAGTAATGGGCCTCTAAACCATGGGGCCGCTTCAGATGCTTGTCCGAGGAAGCAACATATGGTCGGCCGTACTAAGTCCAAGGTTGATTATGGATCTTAGTTCTTCTGTTAATAATAATTCTAATCCTTCACATAATTTCACCACAAACTTTAGTTTTAAATCTATCCAAATCAACCTTGGACGAAGTAGAAACGCTCTACACGAGCTCTCTATTCACATTTCTGGCAGCGCTCCTGAGTTTGTCTTTATTACTGAACCATATACCGGTAACATTGATTCTATGAATATTAACAACTCCGATTACACCCTATACCAATTTCCCACTTCCCGACCTACCCTTGCAGCACTTGCCGTAAAGAAAAATACAGCCTCCACTCTCGGTTTTTCTTCCTATTCCACGTCTAATCTCTGTATTGTCCAGTGCAGAGATCAGTCCACAAACAGAAAATTTTTCCTCATCTCCGTCTATATTGAACCCCGTCACGACGCTTTCAATACTCTCGCGAATCTAGAACACTTTGTTCTCGATAATCCGAACGCCTCTTTTATTATTTGTGGCGATTTCAATGGGTGGCACGGTTTATGGGGCTCCAAATCAAACAATAGTAGGGGAGACCTGATCTTTGACTTCATCTGCAACAATAATCTTATCATTCACAATACAGGCAACTCACCAACATTTCACACAGTAACACACCAACTCCCACGCGAATCAATCATTGACCTCACACTCACTAGCAATTGCTCTCATATACATTTAAATAATTGGTCCGTTAATAATAATTTAATAGTCAGTTCTGATCATTTTCCTATCACATTTAATATTTCTCTTAACAACATAACATTTATGAAGAACAAGAAACTCAGTACATTTAAATATAACACTACAAATATCTATTGGAACGGAATACTGGATAAATTTGCAGATGAAGTCGGGAGAAGACTCCCTCCCATTGAAACAGTTAAATCTGCATCCCCTCCAGACCTTGACTCTATAATTAATATCCTGACTATGACTCTACAAAAGACATGCGACAAAATACTTCCTCGATCCCGTCACGCCTCTCCTAAAGCTCCCTTCTGGAACGACAACCTACAATCCTTAAAACAGAAAGTGCTTCACACTCACCACAAATTGTGCCGTTTTGTCCGACGCAAACTACCCCTACAAGACGTCATCGCTGAGAGGGACGCGGCTAGAAGGGAATACTCAATAGCTTTTTGTATCGCGTCCACCGAACATTTTAAAGAGTTTTGTACCAGACAAACCAAAGAGGATGTCTGGTCCATTACTAACCGTATTATTAAAACCAAACCCTTAACTCAACCACCCTCTACTCTCCGTCTCAGCGATGGCTCTTACACCTCTTCCTCTAGTGACACTGCCGACGCTCTTATCAATAATTTTTTCCCCGACGACACTACTGACGCTACTGACGCTCACCGATCTACTAGGGCATTAATGAACCGACCTATAAACTCCCCCTCTGAACCCAAGTTTACCCTGACTGAAATACTAAATGGACTCCGACAGATGAACCACAAAAAAGCCCCAGGTATCGATCACTTGACGTCTGACATATGCCTACAGTTCGCTCTTAAATTTCCCGACTTTATTACGACTCTCTACAATAGATGTTTGACATTAGAATACTTTCCCCTACCTTGGAAACATGCAGTTATTAAAATCATCCCCAAACCAGGAAAAGACAATTATTCACAACTATCCTCCTTTCGCCCTATTGGGCTCATAAATGTCTTTGGTAAATTACTCGAAAGACTAATCATTGACCGATTGACCTTCCACTTGAACCGACTGCAACTAAGTAATCCCCGACAATTCGGCTTTAAACAGCAGACCTCCACTTCTGCAGCAATAATCACTGCACTCGATTTAATAAAATCAAAGAAGGCCAAAGGCGAACATGTTATTGCTGTCTCGCTAGACATTAAGGCTGCGTTTGATAACGCGTGGTGGCCTGCTGTTTTCGCTCGACTACGTCACTACAACTGCCCCAGCAACATTTACAATATCCTCCTTAGTTACATTCAGAATAGAACTGTAGGAATTGACTTTTCCGACGCATCTATTACCAAACCCATGTCAAGGGGTTGTGTCCAGGGTTCTGTGTGTGGTCCCACTATGTGGAACCTTATTATGGACGAGCTCCTTGACATTGACCTTCCTGCTGGGTGTCACATCCAGGCCTACGCAGATGACGTTTTACTGATAACCCATTCCCCTTCCCTTCCTGACCTACAGCACATTACCAACTCCGCTCTTCACATAATTCATAGCTGGGGCTCAAGCGTTAAATTGCGTTTTGGCCCCGAAAAAACGACTCTCACCGCGTTCACTAATAAGGCAAACTCAGTGAGTGTTGCTATGGATAACATACAATTAGAATTCGTAAGTAGTTTTAAGTATCTAGGTTTAGTCATTGATAATAAGTTAAGGTTTACTTCACATGCGCTTCACGTCATTGAGAAGGCTAAAAAGCTATTTCAGAAACTTCTAATTTTCACTCGGCCCACGTGGGGGGTCCATTCTGATAATATCCGTGTTATTTATGAACAAGTCATCATTCCAATCATTAGTTATGCGGCCAATATTTGGTCAGGCGCTCTGAAATACAAATTCGTCAATAAAAAACTCCTATCCTTTCAACGTCTTTTCGCCATTAAAATTGTACACGGTTTTCGTACCCTCAGCACCATCACCTCCATTTCTCTTGCCCAACTTATACCTCTCCCTGAAAAAATTAAATCCATATCCACCATTGAAACCTCCAAACGATTAGGATACTCCCCCTTCCTCCCTTCTGACATACCGCTAGAGAAACCTTCGCCTCCATCCGCTCTCTTACATCCGGCTCTACGTGTTCCCATTTCTTTCACTGAGATAAACACAGTGGAAGAATTCCAGGTTTTTGCCAACACCTATTCCTACCATCTATTCACAGATGGCAGCAAACACGATGGCGTTGTCGGTGCAGCATTCGTTGCATTTGATCCTTGCGAAGTCCATATTACTAAAAAATTTAAACTCCACCCTTCCTGTTCTGTTTTTCAGGCTGAAATGCTTGCAATCCACAAAGCATGCGAGTGGATTGCCTCCAATACCACTAAAATTAAGTCCTGTGTCATCTGCTCCGATAGCAAATCGTCTCTACAAGAACTTTCCAACCCATATTCCCATAACACCTTTGCTGTTAAGATTTTTGAACTCCTACATTCTATAGGATTACGCAGTACAAAAATTGGCTTCGCATGGGTCAAAGCTCACGTGGGCATCGCTGGCAACGAAATCGCTGACGTTGCTGCGAAATCTGCCGCCGATCTTCGCAAATCACCCGATTTCCTTGACACTCCCGTTTCTTACATAAAGCTCAAACTGCGCGACACACTCGTGGATGCCAGGAAAATGTTCTATGAAACACCACTTACCTCCTGTCACACAAAAAAGTATCTCCCAACTTTCGATGACCTCTGCGCATTCCTATCCATAGTTAAGCCCACTTTCTCTATCACTCAATTCCTAACCAATCATTCCTACAATAAATCATACCTTAATAGATTTCACATAACCTCCGATGATCTCTGCCCCTGCGATGGTGCTGAGGTACAAACCTTTGACCACCTCCTATTTTCCTGCCCTCGTTTTAGCAAAACCCGTCTTGACTTCAGTATCTCATGTAGCAATAATAATATCGACCTGAAACAGCCTTTCTTTCTCAAACACGTCATAAAGAAATGTGAACCAACTGAACTCTTTGTAAAACATGTAGAATATATTGTTAATAATCTTAAAACATTTAATTGTACATAGGCTAATAGAATAAAGATTCACCCCTGTATAAATATAGTTATAAACATAGTTATAAGATAATATATAAGAAAACATGTAAACACATATGTAAGCTCATTTTTATATCTAATAAAGAAATAAACAATCCCTCCTCACGAATCCTGGCGTAGACCGTTAGCGCCGCTTTCGATTCCCTCCCCCCCCCCCCCCCCCCCCCCCCCAAAACCCCCAAAAAAAAAAAAAAAAAAAAAAAAAAAAAAAAAAAAAAAAAAAAAAAAAACCTAACCTAACCTAACCTAACCTAACCTAACCTAACCTAACCTAACCTAACCTAACCTAACCTAACCTAACCTAACCTAACCTAACCTAACCTAACCTAACCTAACCTAACCTAACCTAACCTAACCTAACCTAACCTAACCTAACCTAACCTAACCTAACCTAACCTAACCTAACCTAACCTAAACTAACCTAACCTGTTTTCCCGAGTACAAACACAGAATCAGATCTGCTCTTTGTTCTACGGGACAGGGGGGTTATTCGAGGGTAACTCGGGATTTAGGAGGGAATTCAAGAATGTATTGAGGCCAAAAGATGCGCCTTGGCAAGACAAAATTTTAGATCCCAAACACTTTGGGTTTATAGCCATAAACAAGGGATATATGGCAAAAGGTGATTTTTAAAAGGTTTTTACTGAATATCTCGGTAAAGGGGAGGAAATGAGAAAATCTATTGGAGCCAAAAGACTCGCCGTGCCGAGACGGATCTCCTGAGCCCAATCTCGACGACTTAGGACCAGGATCACCGGAGTTAGACCCAGAGGGGGTGAGGTAAAAAAAATATTTGAGGGGGGTGGGGGGAGGGGTAAGTTTCATGGGGAGGCGAATGGCGCTCAGAAAAAATGTGTTGTTTTTAGAGGGGAAGGGGGTATCCCGAGCAATAAGGAAATTAAATTATTGTGGCTGAAATTATTATAGAAGTACTTATAATTTACTAAAATATAAAAATGTTGAAAAAAAAATTTGAAGTGGGGGGAGGGGGGAAACTAGAGGGGCCAAAATATTCCTCTCTTAAAGACGAACAGTTTAAGCCCAAACTCGGGGCTGTTAGGACTAAGGGGGTGGATTCCGATTTTGAGGGGGTGAGGGGTTTCTTTTTTGCGGGGGGGGGTTTAATGCACTTACGTATAGCTCGTCCAATGACGGCCACGACGAGCCCAAGCATTATTAATCTAAGTTAATTATAAAGGAAGTTATACTATATTAAAGTTTTATGAAATATAATTTTGTATGTTTGTTCACTAAAAAATTTTACTCAAGTACAGCTGTTAAATAAATATTTCAAAATATCGCTCTTGGCACATTTTTGTTTGAATTAAAACCGTTTTAAACTAAGAACCGTTGGAAACTTTTAGCAACTTTACAGATTTATACTTATAAAACGTTTAAACGTTATTTAAAAATACTTAGAGTTGATGGATTTTTATGTTTTTGGGCTCAGTCGAGAGCTAAAGAACCAAAGTTTTTAATAGTTATTATATAATTACTGAGTATATTATATATTATTTGTTATAAGCGCTGAAAAGTAATGTTAATTTTAGAAAATTTTAAGAAATTTAAAGGCTTATTAACTTAAGTCGAAATGAAATTTAAAAACTATATTCTATATGAGGAGAAAAATATCTATCGAATGGCGTATATATATATGTATTATTTGGCTTTTAACTATCGATGTGATATTTTTATTTGCGTATCCCAAACCGTTAACAAAAGATGCTATGGATTATATCTTAAAAACGTACCTTAATGAAAATTTGAACTAATATAAACTAAGACGTTCTATTGACACTACAATATCTTGCTTAGGCGTGCTTTAGAAGGTTGACCCCTGATGAGGACTCGAAGGCTCCGTCTGCTTCAGCTCGACCGCAAAAAGATGAAGACGCTGGTTTTATATGATATTGTTATCGCAGGATAACAAGCGATATGTCGTTAGAAAGCCTATTTAAAGGGCTTTCTAGTGTTAATATTAAGATCGTATTCGTAAACTAAATCACTATGACCAAAAATGTGAAAAAAGTTGGTAACTCAAAAACTATATGGCCAAAAACTTTATGTTTTTAGTTGCACTTTTGAATTTCGATCCGCATTCAATTTTAGTTTTTCACTTCACAAATTTCACTATGTCTTCTGACTCGAAAGTCGTAGAAAAGAACTAAAATAAACTTAAAGTTCTTTTCTACGATTTTTGTTCTTTAGAAATTATAGCGCCTGATAAAAATACATAGCAAAAGTGCATGTAATTTGTTGCTTTTTAGTAGTATAGAAAAATCTTAATTTAAACCTTAAGTTTATTTTAGTTATAGAGATAAAGCTACATAAATAGATAAGCTGATTTGAAAGTTCTTTATTAATTTTTATAAAAATTTTATTTTTTTTTTTTTTTTTTTTAAAAAATTTAATTTAAACCTTAAGTTTATTTTAGTTATAGAGATAAAGCTACATAAATAAGATAAGCTGATTTGGAAAGTTCGGTTTGATATAAAACTCTTTTGACAGCTAAACACAATTTTAAAACGATTTTAGTTTTTTAGAAATCATTGCGTCTGATAAGAATATATTGCAACATAATCTCGATTACTTTTCGAGCTAGCTATCAGACACGGCTTGCAGCATTTTTTTCGAACTTGGATTTACTGCTTTTGGGCAATCTTTATGCAAGTGAAAATGACAGTCTTTGCTTCGAACGCCATCTAGAGCAATCGCAAAGAACTTCGCACACATAGTGCATTTATTTGATGGATTGGGCATGTCGTTGGTATTCAAATTCAAATGTGAATTACCAGATGGCGCTATTATACACTTTTTGTTAGATTTTAACTTTGCTTAAGAAAGTTGCCCAAACACTTGCACTATCTTAGTGATTTTTTTGCGGATTTCACTCGAACGCCAAGATAATTTCAGTCCAAACTGTTTGTCTTGCTATCAACCTTTTTCCTCTCCGAATTTGGTTTTTTACTTTGTGATTATTTGCTATTATTTAAGCTATACAAAGTCACAAAGTTTTAAATTTTAAAGATTTTTTGGTCAACAATAATAATTAAGACATAAACGTTTCTCTATACATTTTTGTCTCTTTATTACGAATCTAGAGGGCGCTACTGTTCCAAGTTAAACACCACCTCTGTATATTTTGCAACTTAAAAAATAATATTAGCGTTTAGAAAACAGTGGAAACTTATTTAATTTACACTACAGACACATAAATAAGTGAAATATATCATATATTGTGGATATAGTGAAATATAAGCATTTTGCCTATAAACAGTGAAGAACATCAATAGGAAGTTATCAGTATTTATCTGTTGTTATGACAAGTGGCGATCAATCGATTAAATACTTATAGAAAGTGACATTGTGCGAATATTAGTGAATCTTGTGGTGTATCGACGAGAATAAGAAGACATTTACAGAAAGAGCTTTAAAAACATTGAAATTAGCGTCATCTCTAGAAATTTGTCTATACTACGCTTCAATCAGTTTGATACCAAATGGTGGATACTACGTGTATGTTATAAGCTCAAGAATGGCCCATAGAGGACGTTACTAGCAAAGCATGAAAATCTCCAAACAAAAGTAGAAAATCAGAAGAAACGTCTTTACTTTTTGGAGAAACAAGCAAGGCAGTGAAATATTGTGTTTTTCGGTACTGAGGAGATGGAGTCTTCATCATGTTTAAACTTAGAAAATGAAATGTTAGAATTTATCAATAAACAATTTAATTAAAACACATAGACAAACAACAACACTGGTAATAAAAGAAATCTCTCAATATCTCCCGAGAATTCACAAACTCATGAAAATAAAACAAAAAACCATTCGTCATGGGGCTGCTCCCATGGGCCAATCAGTTACAGCAATACCATAGCACTCGGTAGATTCACAGACTAGTCTATAAAGTACCGACTACTGACCGCATTACCTGCTACGACAAGTCTGGGGTCCGTTGGGGAGGAATCTAATTCAACGGATTACACATTTTAAGAAAATTGGTATGAACGTTGTTTAAGGTAACCCCACTAAGTACTTACCTTTTTTAAAACTTAACAGGTTGTCTTGGACTAACTCAACCTTAACATACTAACATGCATCAATCACAGGTATTAAAAATGTATTTAAACGTCTCTGATTTAAAACGTTCATATTTCTTCTTATTTGAAGATATCTATATATATTATAAATCATAACTTGTACCGCCTAAAGGTACATAAAAAAACTTAGCTGTTTTAGAAAGTTTAGTTTAATATAACACTTTTGACAACTAAACACAATCTATGAACTATTAATTTTGTTCTTCAAAAGTTATAGCGCCTGATCTAAATATATAGCAAAAAAAATGCTTAATTGAATAGTTAATAATCATTTGGTTTTTTACTTTGTGATTATTTGCTATTATTTAAGCTATACAAAGACACGAAGTTTTAAATTTCAAAGAGCTTTGGTCAACAATAATTAAGATATAAACGTTTCTCTATCTATCTCTACTCATTTTTGTCTCTTTATTACGAATCTAGAGGGCGCTATTGTGCCAAGTTAAACACCAGCTCTGTATATTTTGCAACTTAAAAATAATATTATAACCAAAGTATGGAGTGCGGTATCTAAGAGTAAGAATTAACTCTTAATAATTTTATCTTATTTGACATAATTGTGCATTACTATAGACATTTAGCCATGCAGTACCTCAAAGTATTCAAAGCTTTTTTACTTTTCAGAAATGTTTTTCTTTATCTTACTTTACACCTATGTTATTTAATATATTATAATCAAGGCAAACAGCTTTGGAGGAGGCCTGACATGACAGGTTTCCTTAAAAATAATTAGTTTACTTAGTTATTTACGAACATTCATTTCATTATAAAATATCTGATAACTAACTGTACATAATAGGTTTTTAAAGAAAATAATGGGTTTTTTTATATATTTTTTTATTTTATTGCTCATTTGGTAAAAACTAAATAAAATTAAAGAAACTTGTTGCGGTATTCTGTATTTCTATATCTTCGGTCTCCATCCATCCATCTTCTTCTGTATTCCAAAAGTACCATACTGCATTCAAATTTATTTATTTTTGATTACAGTCAACATCCCTCTTAGTCTTGTTACCTGTGGTGGTGCAATTAGGCTTGTGCCTCGACATATGAATATACTTGTTATATAGGGAACGCCGCGACTGTCTTCTCCCTAATGTTGCTCGAAGCACCTACGCGAGCTAAGCTAAACTAGCACCGCCTATCTCTTCCTCAAGCAGCATTAAAGATAGTTGAATATATTTACTCCCATATGATTAAACTATTAAGTATTACTTACGGGAATAAATATACAGTACTAGTTTGGGGATGAAATTAAAGAAGGCTCTGAAAACCAAGTAAATTTTGGATTTGCCTTAGTCAACAAAATTGAAATTTGTTTTTCAGTTAGATCTTAAGAGTCTAGGGTTTCCAGAGCTTGAGAAGACCATCCTCGCCGTAGGTCGCGAGGAGGTTCTGATGCGGATGATGCGCGAGGCCGATGACGGGCTGGTCGTGAACGGGAACCGTCCGCTCGAGCTTTCCGCTCAACGCGCAAAAGGCGTACAACACTCGGTCCTCAGCAGCGCAGTAGACGAGACGACCGCGCGCCCCGAGCGCCGCACAGACGAGGGCGCCGCCCTCCGCCTCGCGACGCCCACTCGACAGCGAGCGCACAATCTGCCCAGCCATGTTCATAATAACGACGGTGTTCGTGCGGTTGCACACCACGAAGTGCTCTGGGTTCTTGGGCATGAGAAGCAGCGAATTAACTGGAGGATCGCCGGCGCCGAGTGGCTTCAACGTGGCCGAACACTCGCCCGTTCGCACCGTCCACACGCGGACCGTGCCGTCAGACGACGCGCTGAGTACGCCGTGCCCGTCGGGCGTAAAGACCGCCTCGTTGACGAATGACGTGTGCCCGCGCAACTCCTTGAGCAATTTGCCCGACTTGAGCCCGTGGATGCGGATGGTACGGTCGAACGACGCAGACAGTAGTTGACTGGCGTCGCGCGTAAACTGGAGGCAGGTGACGCCTTTGGAGTGGGCGCGGTCGAGACGCCGTTGCGTCTGCCCACTCGAGACGCGCCATATCTTCACCTTGCCTCCGTTGGAGCCGGCGGCGAGCGTATCGGAATCGCGCGCGAAAGTTAAGCTCAGAACGGCTTCGTCCATGCTCATGTACTCGTCTTGTGCCTGGTAGCGTAGGTCTTTACGCAGTTTCCCCGTAGTGAAATTCCAAACTTCCACTAGGCCATCCACCGACCCTGTCACTAGATACTGCCCATCCGGTGAAAACCTGAGTCCAATTAACATTTCAAAATAGGGCATTAAAGTAAAATGAAAAAAAAAACCTTTATGACATTTACAAACATACCTAGCACATTCAACATGTGATTTTTGTCCAAATTTAATAGTTTTGGAAACATGTGTCGGGCATTGATCATCTTCTTCATCTCTTATGGCTGCTTTACCCCTGAACAAATCAATTGTTGTCCCTGAAATGGTCATCAGCATATTTTAAAATTCATTGAAATTGATTAATTCAGAGATGATAAGGTTAATAAGCTTCACCTGGTGGGAGTAATCCTTGATGCTGCTGCCACTTAAGCGCTTGCCCCAGCAGAGCGAGCAGCCTCGACGACGGAACCACTGATACCTCTCCGGCCAGCGCAGCTGCCAAAGCAGCGCGCCGCCATTCCTTGCCACCTCCGCCAGCGCTCGCCCCGCCGTACGCCTCACGCGGATCAAAATAGGAGCGGGACAAGAGGCTTTCAAGATGCATGTAACGGTCCGGTTCATGCTGCTTCATCAGAAGACAAGGCTGAGTCTGGCGCAAAAGAGTACGCGCTGCACCCAACTCGCGTAGCTCAATCAACTCAAGAGCCACTTGTTCATATAAATCCATCAATTTCTTGTCTGGCAGTTTAAGTGATGATGTGGCTTTAAGGACTGTGTCCCATTGTCCATTGTTGATGTCTGCACAGAATCCGTCAACACTTTCCACTGTGTTTAGAGAAACACCCGTCTCTTCCTACAAATATTTAAAACAAAATAAAAGAAGATTTATGTCCCACACATAAGTATACAATAGTAAATGAGAACAAGTGGCTAGATCTCTTCTTCCAAACTAAGTTAAGTGATGGTAGGTCATCAGGTAACAATATTTTTACAATGACTAATAATTAAACACCTCAGCATTGCACATTCTACATTAGTACATATTATTAATATAAAATAATGTGTGTGAAAGCCCGTTTCCCCCTCGTGGGGCATGGGACGAACACATTTCTGTGTCCATTTCATTAGTTGGCAAGTAGTTGATCAGACTTCTATGCCCTGCCCAACTGAAATATTTTTTTTTTGTTTCTCTGGGATTCAAACCCAGGACCTCTCGTGCTCAATGCAATGCTAGGCAATATGTTTAATTATTTGGCTACAGAGGCGGATAAAATATTGGGACAAATGATTACTTTTTTCAAATGTAATACAAATACATATTTAAAAAGTATTTTTCTAAAATACAAAAAAATTCTAAATCAAGTTGTAGAAACTCATATTTGGCTCTGTGTTTTAGCTGTAAGTTTTTCTTAATACATAAATATGTAAAATAAATAAATGGAATAACACTTGAACACTTTTAATATTATGACTTATTATAAATTTATCACAAAAATGGCAGGAATCAGCGTTGGGAGTATAATCCAGAGCTGGTATTTACTGTATTGACCTAGACAGTGCTTCAAAATAAAATGTACACACAATATAAATAGCGTGATTTACAATAACAAGTTGTAAAAACCATTTTTATTATTGAAAACAAAAACGTTTGTTATTTGGTTAACCTTTAAAGATTATAATGATCAGAAGAAGTATTGTTAAAATATATTATACTAAAATCATTTAAGGATAAGGTAACTTACTTGTAATGCTTGCAATGTCTTTGTCAAATTTGATTCCTTAAGGTATTGTTGAATTAATCGAATCACACTAAAATTCAAAATATTTCTAAGTGAATATGTTCAAAACTTTAAATTTAATTAAGTTAGATACTTACTCGGCAGATTCGATTTCTATAGACATTATTTAAGTCTAAATACAGTGATATTATCAATAAGAGATAGCGTATTTACTGCATTTATAAGTAAAATCGATAGTAAACTATAACATTCCTTTGCTGTATCTAATAGCAATCATACTAAGAAAGTAAGAAATAAGAATTATGAAAAGAGCCTTTGATTGTGTAAAACATAGGTGGTAAAACAATGGCGGCAGAACCCGTCAATTGTCAAAACAGCAAAAACCTAGGACAGTTTACAATTTACATTAAGTATAAACAAACCGAATGTATCGGTACCAAAAGGTAACGAAACGGACACAATTTCGTTACTCGTATTTGTTAGTATGGTATGGATGCTATAAATCTTGCGTGTTTGAATCACACGTTTAATGGCCGCTACACACTCTCCACGAGGCGACACGAGAGAACGCGAGTGCTAGAGTGTGGACGGTGCGCTCGTGTCCCCTCGCCTCGCCTCGCTAGCGCTCCGCTTTCTGTCGGTCTTTCGAGCGCGAGTCAAAAGAGGCGAGAGAGTGAACGACACTTTGCCGCTCGCTTACTTATTTGTTGACTGCTGCCGTCCATCTTGCACTAGACGTAACGACTAACTAAATAAAATGGAGAGTGTGGATGACTAGCACTCGTGCAGTCTCCGCTCGCCAAGACTCGTGGCGAGAGCCTCTAGGAGGCGACGGGACACAAGCGCACCGTCCACATTCTAGCACTCGCGTTCTCTCGTGTCGCCTCGTGGAGAGTGTGGAGCAGCAATTACAATTAATACTCGTTGCTCATACATCGTTACGTTCAAAGTAGATTTTTTTCATCATTTTCTTTATTCCATTCCCGTCTTTCAATATTAGTAATGCAATAATTAATGATACTCACTGATACTATAATACTTATCTTATGTGTAAGTCTAGACTCTAGATTGTAGAGTCTTGTTTAGGTATATAGTCTTGAAAAGGTATAGCAAAAATAAATATAGAGGCAAAAAGAATTTTACTTTGAAAACACAGCTGATGTGGCCAAAGATTTGAAGCGTGCTCTTTGCATAGACAAAAAGAACCTTGGAATGGGCAATTAACATTAAATATGAAGATAAACTTTGCATAAATGTTTTTTTTTTTTTTTTTTTTTTATCCCAAAACCCAACCCCCCCACCCCCCCCCTAACTAAAAAAAAAAAAAAAAAAAAAAAAAAAGCGCGGCCCCCCCCCCCCCCCCCCCCCCCCCACCGGGATAAAAAACAAAAAAAAGAAAAAAAAAAAAAAAAAACAAAAAATAATTTTCTCCCCCCCTCCCCCCCCCCCCCCCCCCCTTAACGAATAATCTACACCCCCCCCAACCCCCACCACCCCCAAAATCTTTTTAAAAAAGCCCCCGCCCCCCCCAAAAAACCCCCCGCCCCCATAATTAGAATGGCCGGGGGGGGGGGAGAAAAAAAATTTTGCGCGGGGGGGGGGGGGGGGGGGGGGGGAAGGTTTTCCACCAATAAAAAAAAATAAAACCATTTTGGTTTTTTTTTTTTTTAAAAAAAAAAAGAAAAGGGGGAGGGACCCCCCCCCCATCAAAAAAAAAAGGGATAAATGTTGAGCCAATACAGCTGCAATGCTGCTCTAATGTTTATTTATCTTAGTGTGAATAGTATAACTATTTTACAAATGCTGCCATTTGTAAAATAGTTAGGTTCTCTTGAGGGTGAACATGTCATGTGAATTTAATTTGCCTTTGGGTATTCAGAGAGAGGTCTTGTTGAACATAATTAAAATGAAAATCATATTTTGTTATATCCTTTTTTATTTAGCAACTAAGTTCTTGTTTACAGGAAATAATGCAATTAGAATCATGTAACATGACATGTATATAAATGTAACATTAATATTAATACTAAAGAAATATTCTAATCTAAATAACATTCTCATCTCACTTTGTTTAAAATTCAAACAAAGGTGATTTTTTCAAGTTGAGCAATAAGGTCCATGTGTTTGAATGACTGTGGTGATTTCGTAAAAGATAGAAGTAGTTGTAGTTTTTCTTTATCCTTGCCATTATAGTACATTTGAAACTGATTAGCTAAACACTGTGCCTCTTGTCCGTCTAACACATTCTGGAATCATATTAGGTTACGTAGCCTTACTTTTAAACTTAATTTGCATACCTATTACTTAAAATCATACCTTATCATATTCTCCTCTCATGAGTACAATTCCCTTATCGTCTAACTCTATATAATGGGTCATTGTGAGGCATTCTGGGGCATTTTCCTTGTGCACCTACAATGAGTATTGTCAGTAATTCTTATATAGTACCAGTTAAATATTAGGCTTTCAGTCTTCACAATTATAATACCACCTGGTAAGCAAGAAGTGGAGTAAAGTGAACTGAATGTCCATAACTCTGACACATGATAAATTCAAATCCCTGCGAGCGAGGTAGAGGGAATAGAAAGGTTGGATTGTCTGTCATCCTCTTTCTCATGTCTTTGTATATTTTTGAAGGAATGGTTGCACATATGACTTGTTTATTTTTGTGATACTCCTCCCATATTAACTGTATTTCTGAAGACTCTTTATCCCTTACCAAATCAGTTCTAAAGATTTCATCAAGTTTTTTGTCTTCAACTTTTGCATTACTATTTAAGTTTTCTTTAGGGTTTAAAACTGAAGAAAATTTCCTGAAATTAATAATATTTTTAATTTAACACATTAACGGTTTAAAACGCGATATATTAGTTAAACTTATTTGAAAATGATTTTTAACTTCGGCCCGACGTTTCGGATGCTTTGCAGCAGCCATGGTCACGGGCCCCCGGATAGTAGGATATGTCGTACTGTTAATCTACATAAGAATAAGAGCAGAGAAAAGTTAACACTCTGACGATCCATAAGTCAATGCAAACACAATTCTTATTTCAACCATAAAACTAACCTAGTGTCAACTTTATCGACATTCCTCTGTTCACGCGTTTTTCGCTGTGTCTCGAGCCTTTTTAAGAATTCTTCAGGAGATTGTTTTTGCAAGGCTGCGATCCTATCAGAGTATTTTTCAAAGTATGGATTATTTTTTAAATTCTCCATAGCCTTTTCGCATTTTGTAACGGTGGTAGAAATATCTCGGAACATTGCAATTTTACGTATTAAATTATGTCTAAAATATAATGCCATATCTATTAAGCTTTAATTCAGTCTATCCTTCAAAGCTACCACTGCTATACGTCAAAGTATATAATCTATGCCATACGCCTGAGGTTTTTGCATCTTTGGCGAATAATAGTGTGATTCCAACGCCTACAGAAACAGACTATCGATTCAAACCCTTACCTTACCCTAAACTTAATTCTTAGTAATAATATAAATTTAAAAGCAATTCGCATAAGTTCAAAAGCAGTCTCGTCCGTATCATAATTTTTTTTAATTAAAAGAGATAATTTGGACACCACGTTCTATCTTCTCACATTTAATACAGATAAAGCTGAAGGCATTAGCCTGACTATCGCATCTTATATTATACCCTGTTAAAAACTCCGGTACACCTTTTTTTGTTCTCCAAATTTGGGAGGAAAAAACCAGTAAAGGCGTTAAAAGCGGTAGGCGTATTGGTTATGGATTGCCATAACCAATAAGGTCGCTACTCGACTTATAGAAAGTCTATGATATTTTTACTTCCCTGTGGCTGTTATTGGTAATATATCTGTAATCGACTAAAGTATGTCGTTGTCTGTGATATTAATTATATAGATATGAAGACAGAGAATTTTTTGAAATGAAATTAATTATTTAAAATTTTGTGAACTCTATTAAGATTGTTCATATAATTTCAATTAAATTACTTATTTAAAGATCGCGCTTTCAATGATTGTGGCAAGTTATAATGATGAATAATTTTTACCAGTATTCAATTAAATTTGCATGAATTACGTTTCTTTTAATTATTGCCACTTAGTTTTTAATAATATCAGTAATTGTTGATAAAAACCAGAATTTCACAACAGGTGTAAAATACATCTGTTAGTCGCATATTTTTATTCGAACTAAAAATTGTAAATCAAATAAAGGTTTCCGATATATAGTAAGCAATTCCAAAAAAAAGACTGAATCTAATGCTGTTAACATAGTTGCGTGTAGGTAAGTTAAAATTAATGTATAAAATTTAATATTCTGAATATATTCTTCTTTTATATTTTTAGATAAACTTCTTGATACAAACCAATAGTTAATGTTACAATTTAGCATAAAGTAATGATGTTGAACTATTACTACTTTTATCTTCCCTATTATTTTTTCTCCTAATTATTGTGTAAGGAAAATTTATTAACCAAATCAATTTTAGAATAAATTAATATTGTTTGAAGTACTTATTCTAAATCTAATTGTGGAAACATGTAATCAGCTCTATTTTTCTTTGTCTACACTGTTTTTAGTTGCAAGTTTTCATTAAAATTTTTAATAAAAAAAATTACTGCTTCTTACTAATGGTATGTATTTAGATATTTTTAACTATCAGCTTCAAAGATTATTTTTAATAACTGCCTGTTTTATGTACTGTCTTTAGCTTATTTATAATATTTTTAATTTATTTATCTATAAGCATTGTCAAAGTGGAATATCTGTCCACTTCACTTTGTATAGGTTTTGTTCTTATAAAACATGACTTAGCCTTACCTGTTTGTACCAAACAATTAAGAAGTGTTTAATTTTTTTCTTTTAATTATTTATTATGATACATCAACAGATCACTTACATATGATTTATTATGCTAAAAATCTTAATAAATTAATGTACCTATGGCAGACCCAATTTCTGATGTACACAGCATTGTCACTTTAATATTATTTTTTAAAAATATTTAGAGAACTTAAACCTAATTAATATAAAGTGTTTATAGTCACAATCGTTATAATACTTTATTATATGTAAATATTTAATAGAATCAAAGTAAGGATCATTGCCGGTCCCTGACTTGACCTTTAATTAAATTTAATTTTACTAGCATAGGTGTGAAATATAAAAGAGAAAGTGCTGAGATAGCTTTTAAGCTACATTGTTTGCTGCCGCTATAAAACTTGATAAAAAGAGTTGTGAGTTTACTGCCAGCTCCTTAGTTTAAAAACTGTCAGTGAACTTAACTCAGAAGTCTTGATGATGAACGGTGATGATGTTTTAAGTGTACTCAGTTCCCTACATGATAAAAGTATTTTTGTATTTTCATTTGATGTTGTTTTGTAAGTAGAAGAATGCGGACTGAGGAGAAGGATCGCGCAGCGAAGCCGGGGCCGGAGAGAAGGTGAGGAGTGGCGCGAGGCCATGGCGGAAGGGGAGGCGGCGTCCGCGGGCCTCGCCGACGCCGTGCTGCTGGCGCCGCTCAGCGAGGACTCGTTCCTGCACAATTTGCACGTGCGATACAAACGTGACGCTATCTACACGTACGTGGGCAACGCCTTGGTGTCGGTGAATCCGTGTCGCCCTCTGCCGCTCTACTCGGCTGAACTCGTACGGACGTACCTCGCGCGCCCCCCTTACCTGCTGCCGCCGCATCTCTACGCTATTACTGCCTCCGCCTACAGATGGGTGCGCGACAGGAACGAGAACCAATGCATAGTGATAACCGGTGAGTAAGGCGATCGAGAGCGAAGTGTCTCTCGAACGAGACAGTGGCCTGACAGTCATCGTGTGCGTAGGCGAGAGCGGATCGGGCAAGACGGAGGCCGCGCGTGTGTGCCTGCAGTGCGCAGTGGTAGCCGGGGGCGGAGGCGGCGGCGGGGGACAGCTGGCCGCGGCCGGCACCCTGCTCGAGGCCTTTGGTAACGCGGCCACAACGAGAAACCACAACGCTAGCAGATTTGTAAGTTATCGCGTGCTCATCTAGAGCCCTGCGTCGTGTTAGTTTCGCTAATCGAAGGCACATAATCATATCGCAGGGCAAGCTGCTCGACATCGAACTGGACTTCAAGGGCGAGCCGGTAGGGGGCCACCTCACGCACTGTGAGTTTGTCTCTTTTTTTAAAGTACCACCGTTTTATCGCACACTAACCGCTCCGTGTGTTTCATGCAGACCTTTTGGAGAAGGTATGTCTCGATTCGCTTAGCGCGGTTGGTCTTAGAATTTGTGCTTTTAAGGCACGTAAATAGCGGCGCGTGACCTGTGCAGGAGCGCGTGTGTTACGTGGGCGAAGGCGAGCGCAACTTCCACATCCTGTACCAGCTGCTGGCCGGCGCCGACGCTCATCTCCTCAAACGGTTGAAACTACAACGCTCGTGGGAATCGTACCGCGTGCTAGTCGGGACGGCCGCCGAGAACGAGGCGGGGGCGCGGCTCCCCAGCGAGGGCACGCCTGAGGACCCTCAGCGCTCGCCGCGCCGCTCGCATCCGGCGCCTCCTCCCGGACACTGCGACCCGCACGCCGACAGGGACCACTTTTCTTTCACTAAGGTTCTTTAAATATTGACTCGCGAATGTCATTCCCCCTCGCAACATTACACATTTCTCGCCCTCTCGTCTAACAGGCGGCGATGAAGAGCGTCGGCATGAGCCCCGGCGAGTGCGGCGCAGTGCTCCGCGTGCTCGCCTTCGTGTTGAAGCTGGGCAACGTGCGTTTCGAGCCGCTGCACAACATCGACGGATCGCTGGGCACTCGTCTGCGGCGCCGCCACGAGCACGAGCTGCACGACGCCTGCGCGCTGCTCGGCATCGACGCGGCGCGATTGGCGCGCGCGCTCGGCGCGGATGTGGCGCCTAATGGTAATTTTTTTTATTTGTTTTAATCAAGGGTAATATACTGGGTTCGCGCACAACCTGAAAACAAAAGAAACCTAAACCTAAAACATTCGACAATAGAATAAAAGACGTAATTGAGCTGAATGATCCTGACCAGAACGCTTAACATTATAGCTTATTGCCGTTTTCTATAATTGTCTTTATTCCTCATGATTTGTTTTATTTTATACTGTTTTTTATTGTTTACAGTACTTATTCTAAATCGAGTTATGGAAACTTGTAAAAAGCTCTTAATTTGTTTTTTGTCACCTTGGTTTTTTAGCTGTAAGTTTACCTTAAAAATCTAAATAAATAACATTCTAAAGAACTTACATATTATATTGTATTTTAAACCAGTCAGTTTCACATTGCAGACGACGAATGCACAGTCGAAGAGGGCTGTGAAGGCTGCGAAGGCTGTGAAGGTTGCGAAGCGGGCGAAGGTAGCGGGGGGGCTGGCGCCGAGTGGGCGGCTGCGCTGCGGGATCGGTTGCTGTGCGCCCTTTATTCACGCCTCTTCAACTGGCTAGTGACCGCGGTCAACGAAGCGCTCAAGGGCGACGGGAGCGGAGCGCGGGGTTCGCTTGGCATCTTAGACGTGTACGGGCTCGAATCCCTCGCGCACAACGGTCTCGAGCGGCTCCTCATCAACTACGCGGCGGAGCGGGTGCACGCGTGCGTCAGCGCGCTTGCCCTGCGCCGGGAGCAGGAGGAGTATTTGCGCGAGGGGCTGGCGTGGGTGCCGCTGTCGTGCGGAGAGCACGAGGCCGCCGCGGACGCGCTGGACGCCGGCCCCGACAGCGTGCTCGCCGTACTGCGCGACGCTTCACTGCGTGGAACCTCAGACGCTCACTTCTTGCAGCGTCTCCAGCGCCGCCGCCATTCTCGAGTGCTCGCTCTGCCTCCGGATCGCTTTCAGTACGTCTTAATCTCCGTCCCTTCGAAAAGCAACATCCATGGGAACCACTAAGACAAGCCGTGGGTACAATTTTCCTTAGGGACTCTTCTATGGCGTTTTCGTCACACCCTCAGAGCTCGCAACGCTCGAAATACCTCGGATTTTATCTTCTTCTTAGGAATAAATGAAAGTCACAGGGCCCCAGGTCAGGACAACGCCTACTGAGGCGATGGTCTTTTTGTTTCGGGTTCGTAGGTATATATCTAGCTCTGATCTGGCGGCGGTCAGTCACTATTCCACGCGGACGAAGTCGCGGGCACAGCTAGTTTTAAATATTTTCCATGTTACCCGCGTAAACGGTTTGCGTTGAAAATGAGAAAATAAATAATGTTTTTGACATTCTGTGCAGAATCACACACTTCGGCGGGCCCGTGGTGTACAGCGCCCGCGGCATCGTCGCGAAGAACCGAGACGCACTGTGCAGGCGCTGCGCGAGCATCTTGGGCGCCGCGCGCGAGCCGCTCGTGCGCGCCCTGTTCCCGGCGCCGGCGCCTCTGCCGGGTTCGCCACGGCGCCCTGCAGCCCTGGCCTGCCGTCAACGAGCGCTCGTCGCCGCCCTTCTCCGGCGTCTGCCGCCGGCACCGCGCCTCGTGCGATGCCTTCGAGCAGACATCGCGCTACGTCCGTACCGCTTCGACGCCCACCTGCTGCGTCACCAGATCAGAAGTCAGGGAATAATGGAAATGGCGCTCTTACGACGTGCGGGTTGGTGCGAGTCCCTGTGCGCGCGGGCGGTCGTAGCGCGTTACGGAGTGCTACGCGCGGGAGGCGCGGAGGCTCGAGGCGCCGATGAGGAACCGGTGCGAGCGGCGCGGGCTCTGCTTCGCTCGCTGCCGATCCCCAGCGGCGAGTTCACGTACGGGCGCAGTCGCGTGTTTATCCGCAGCCCACGCACGCTGTGGGAGCTGGAGGCGCTGCGGCTGGCCCGCGTCGAGCAGCTAGTGCGAGCGGCCCAACGCGGCTGGCGGTCTCATCGAGGGCGCGTGCGTGAGCGGGCCCAGCGCGTCATAGCCGCCGCTTGGCGGGCCTATCGGGTCAGTGCCGGTTCCTTTCGTGTTTAATACGCGATTGTGGTTTTTAAACAAAGAATTGTCAATTAGCAGGCAAGGCGCGTAGCGGTCGAAAGCGGCTTCAGAACTGCGCGAGCGCCTCACGTGAGTATTCGACGAATTGGGGGTGCGGAGTGTCGATTACTCGCTGATTCGAGCGCAGTTTCTGCCCGATTCAGAGAACCCGCGGCGGCTGCACGGGCGCGTGCACGAGCGCGTGTGCATGTGTCAGCGGAGCCATGCGGGCGGCGGAGGCCGGAAATGGCGCAAGCGACTGGGCGGGACGAGTGATTTGGCGCGCTTGGTGCGCATCGGCGCGACGGCGCTATCTGCGCGAGCTGTGGGCGAGACTGCCGGCCCGCCATCGCTCGCCGGCGTGCGAAGCCTGGCCGCCGGTGCGCGCGCCGCGTCTTCTCGGCCGCACGGATCAGCTACTGCGGCGGCTGCATCACCGCTGGCGCTGCCACCTTTACAGGCTGGCCTTCGACCAAACGGCGCGAAACCGTATGCGCGAAAAGGTATTCGACTCGACCGCCTTCCGTATCCCCTAATCTTTTATATGTTCATTGCTGAACGGTCTCGCCCTGGCCGCAGGTGACGGCGAGCGTGGTGTTTAAAGATCGCAAGCTGTCGTACCCGCGAAGTGTGGCGCATCCGTTCGTCGGAGATTACGTCAGGTTGCGGGCGTCGGGCGCTTGGCGACGCGGACTCGGCGCGGCGGCCGCGGACCGCTACGTCGTTTTCGCGGACGTCGCGCGAAAGGTGTCCCGCGGCGGAGGTGCGACGCGCTGTCTCGCGGTGCTGTCGACGGGTGCTCTGCTGCTGCTCGAGGCACGCTCGTTGCGGTTAAAGCGACGGGTGCCCGCGCACCACGTTTACCGGCTATCCTTGTCACCTTACGCTGATGATTTACTCGTGGTGCACGTGCGGGCCGCCGCGGACGCCTCCGTCGAGGATCTCTCGCACGCGTCGGACCGCGAGCAGCTCGACGCGCCCGGCTGTCTCTTCCCGGTGAGTATTGGAGATACTCTAGTGCCCCGTCCGCTAACGCAGCTCTATCCTTTAACGCGTCCTCCTTCGTCGACAGAGCGAAGGAGGTTGGCGACGCCGCGGCGACGTCGTGCTGCGCACTTGCCACGTGCTCGAGCTTGCCACGAAACTGTTCCTTGTTGTGCAGAACGCGGTTGGTGCGCCGCCGCAAGTCAACATCGCACCCGAGTGAGTCCTTCATCTTTCTTCTCATCCCTCCGAAGCAAACGCCGTCCCTCCTCTAACGATGCTCTGTCAATGTCCCCGCAGATTCGAGGCGAACTTCGGGCAGCAGTTGGTGACGATCGCCTTCCACGCGTTGGGTTCCGTGGGTGGCGTGATCGGCGCAGGCGCGTCGAGCGACGCCACCGGCTCCGCTGGGACGCGCCTCGTGCGCCGCGGCAGCCGCCTCGACGTGCTGCTTTGAGGGCGAAGGCCTGACTCGGCACTTAACTTTCACAGAAGATACTTTTAGTTTCGCGCTTTATTCTCTGCCATTGAAGTGTTCCATTCGATGTAAGTGCGAAGGCCTCCGTCTCTTATTTTTATACTCCGTCTCTAAGCGCGCTCTCGAGTCGAAGAACACGTAAAAATAGTCTCTAGTACAATAGTTGTAGCAAGGTTTGCGCGAAGCGACTCGTTACAAAATATTATCTCCCTCGTAACACAAGTCACAAGTGATGCCTTAACGTTTCTATCGCCTGCGTGGAGAGACGGGTGGGTGTGTCTTCGCTGCGTCGTTAGTTTCTTAGATAGTTGGCGCGACACAATTTCGGTTAAGACTAATGTAAGGTTATTATTGTTACGTTATTATGACGAGATGTTTTATCGATTTTTAATAAAATTTAACAATGTTTTTACTGTGTCTCATATTATTAGCCTATCGTGTACTCTAATATGTCTTCCGTATGGAAAAAAACAAAAGAAACGCATCGCAAGATCTTAACACAGTATATTTTTCTCTAAACATTTACACAGGATGTACACAATATTACAATTAAATCGATTACGACGTGTAGTCTAGATACAGATATGTCTAAGACGAAGTTATACAGTTTCTTAGGCTTAGGCCCTAAAGCTAGGTCGTACGTTACCAAAATTTTATGATTTGACATTTGACAAAGTGTGTAGCTGTTGTGGAACATTTTTCGTTTTTCAAGACTGGAGTGTTGACGATCATAAGGGGCGGGGCCGGCGGGCGGCTCACTTGATGGAACAGGCGAACTGCGCCCGAAGCCGTTGCAGCGACGACGCGCTCTCCTGTAACACGGAGACGTATCATTGCAATCGGACTATCTCGGAGTGACGAGGACGAAAAATGCACACGAGTTCACCTGGAGCGCTTCGCGGGCGGTCGAGTCCCCCCCGCCGCCGGCGTTATCGTTCTGGACATCGTCTGAAACAGAAGAGACACGTTTATGAAAGAGAAGAGGAAAGCATTCGCACGGAAGAGAAGAGGCGTAAGGCGTACCTTCGTCGTAAAGGTGTGCAGGCGAACGCCGAGACTTGCCGAAGCCGGCCGCCGGGTTGCCGTTGTCGTCGCGCTCCGACCTCGACGCGCCGCTCTCGCTCGGAGACCAGCCACCTTGGGACACAAAGGCGCAGATGAGGTCTCGTATAGTCTGGAAAGCGGAGAGCAGGAAATACTCACTGTCGGTGGAGCGCTGCGCGGGGGCAGTGTCGGTGCGCGAGGGGGACGAGTCCAGCTCGAGGGAGGAGCACGACGCTCCCGAACGTTCCCACTCCTCGGGCTCACTCTCCTCTCCCGTCTCGCCCGACCCCTCCAAATCACCCGATTCTCCAGATTGGCCTGCACCGCCGCCGACCTCGGCCTGTAAAGTTCTCTCATTATCATATAGAGGACGCAATAGAGGCAACTGAGACTTCGGTGGCCACTAATTATATCTTCAAAATAACAGAGAGCAAATTCAATTACCTATGACACTTATATTTGATAGTAACGTACATTTTTGAAAAGTCGCGGAGGGTTCGCCTCGTCACTGGAGCTGGTCTCTCCTGCAAAGTAACCGAGATTTTGAAATGCTCGACGGGTGCAGCGAAGAAGGGGTAGCATGGGAATGCGCACCTGGCTCGATAGTTGCTTCGGGCTGTTTGTCCAGCTTGTGCTGCAAAAGCGGATAAAATCCGCGTGCGGTCGCGTTCTGCGGCTCGTACTGCAGAATCAAGCGACAGTACTTGAGCGCCTCGGCGTACTGGCGCCTCATTATCGCCGACAAAAACTGCGCATATGAGAAAACTAAAGAAAGTCTGTTTCATCGGAGTCGGGCGACGAATCGTGCGGGCCTCACCTCGGCAAGAAACTCGCTCGGGGCCGCGTTTCCTTCCGAACACTCGGGGCTGGTCGAGTGGCGCGTCACCGTGTCCATGGTGTGTGTGAGACGAGGCAACGTCACGAGCAGGCGCCCGTCGGGCGGCGGCGACGACACCAAAGGCGAGCTCAGCAGACTCAGGGCCACGCGAGAGGCTGTCTCTAACGGTCGCGGGTCCCGAGAAGGCGCAGGCCAAGCGCCCGCAGGGCGGAGCGGTGCAGGGGGCGCAGGTGCTGGTCGGCTCGGCGCGGGCCTGTACAAGCGCGAGTTCGGCACGGGGCGCCTGAACACGCGTTTGCGTCTGGCCCGCGGTCGAGCGGCCGCGCGCTTGGAAACCGCCTGTCCCGGGTACCTGTGTCACACGAGGCTACACGGGTGCCTCTTACCACACACAAATTGCGATAAACGCGTATACTGACAGTCTCGGGTTGGGCGTGTAGATGGGTCTCGTCAAACGGGCGGGGGCGGTGCGCATGCGGCGCTCGACGGGTGCTCCCAAGTCGATCACATCCACAACACGGCTGTCGCTCTCACATCTGCAAACCGTGCGACACTACTGCTAAGTTACACGCACACACACTAGTTAAGAGAATAAAGTAAAATATATGTACTTAATAGCTACTAAATCTACGGCAGAGTTTAAGGAGGTTACTGATGGATTGCTCCACATCTTTCGCGTCTCGGTAAGACGTATGTGTTCGACCGTATTAAAAGCAAACAAAAATAATCAGAGCTCACAAAATGTCCTCGCGTTGAGCGTCACCAAGATGAGACGGCACGACGATCAGCTCGTTTCTAACACTTTTCGGGGTGACGATGGTCGACGGTCGGCGTACACTCCCTCTGCAAAAAAGAGGACACCGACCGTATAGAATGTCGACTGCGTAGTATAATCTCCACGACGCCGACCTGTGATCAAAACAAAGTTCGGCGTAGGTGACGAGAGCGTTATCGATTGCACTCGCAACAGTTGTCGGGTCACTCGAGAAGCACTAGATAGACTGGCAAATGGGTGTCGGGCATCAACGGTTACTGGAGCAACGACGACCCGCACAGGCAACTATCCCCTCTATGCCTGAAGCTGCCACGCGGTAAGTTGGCATTAAACTGATGCCGGTGGCCACGTCTCGCCGACACTCCGCTTTACGCATGCGCCTTCAGTAGAGTCCTACTCCGGTGAACTATCGACATTGTTCTCGAGAGCGTGTGGAAAACAACCGAAAGCGGGAATCTGAACACTTCCAAAACATTTAAAATTATTTGTGGCTAATGTTTGGAAACATTATGGTGCTTTCTGTTACTTACGATTTTCGAAGAAGCATCGATTTTACAACCATTTTTTTTTCTTGTATAAACACTAATAATTTAAAAAGATTTCAAGTCATTTATTATTTTAGTCCTTAACACATCTTGTAGGCATTCTAAAACAAGTGAAAGCTCAAACTTTGTGTGTACAAATGTCATTAAATTAATCTTTGGTCATCGATTGTGAATAAAGGAGTTATGACGCATATTATTTACTAGCTGTTTCAGCGACTTCGTCCGCTAAGAATATTCATTTAGGGCATCCAAATCCGTTTTTGCAAACCCCTTTATCTTTATAAACTTAAGCTATTACCCACGACGTCGGTGGGGTTTCCCGTCGTTCTTACAAGTTAATCTTAAAAGATAGATCTATACGTTGTGGACTTTTTTTAGGTCATTTAAAGAGGAGTCATTCTTTTATACATATTTTGTATGTATATTGATCCGTTTATGCAGCGTACGCAGAGAAAACCTGCTTTTTAAAAATAAGTTTCAATAAGAACTGCATAGTTGTACGTAGGCAATAGAACAAAAATGTCACTAAATATTATGTTCGTTTAAAACACAGCTAGGGGTTTAAAAATCGTATTTTTATATAACAATAGATACTGTTACAAATAGTGTCAAGTCCAGGGACACAGATAAAGGCACGCAATCATTGTAGACCTAAAAAAAGAGCATAATAGTCATCATTGAACTGACAGATGTCACACAAAACTGTCTTGAATGTCATGTGTCCAGTAAAAATAGTAAATACTAATTAGTTGCAAAAATGGCGGAATTGTTAGCGGTACCGTTGAAAAAATCTTCTGATGTTGATATTGTGAAACCGTTTAAAAACTTAATACAAACGACGTACAACAATAGTACAGGCAACGATGAGATAATGGAGGCGATCGGAGAACTGAGTCGCATGCGAGTGAATGCTATATGGAAAGTTTTCGAGAAAAATTCACTCGATGGTCTCTACAGGTATATGCAATGACTCATTCTTCAACGACTTAACTCAGTGTTTACTCATATTAAAGCATTTTTGTGTGTTGCATGCTTTTCAGCTATTATGACCAGCTCGCTTCCCTGGAGAGCAAGATTCCACCGCAAGAAGTACAGATTCCTTTTAAATGGAAAGATGCGTTCGACAAGGGTTCAATATTTGGCGGACGAATGAGCCTCAGTGAGTGAAATAATATGAACTACCTATCTACAGTGGGTCTTCTTCCGCCGGCCGCGCAAGCGGCTGTCGGGATCCCCTTTCGCATTCTAGTGCTCGCGGGGGGTGTCCGGTTCGCAACCCGTCAATACGGGCTGGTCGCTGTTTGTGTATCAATAACACACAGTGGCGTCTTCAAAATGTTGGTCATGTGCGCGGGCGGTGCGTCCCAGGTGCGCGCGGCACGCCCCCACCGAGTGAGACCCCCGGTAGCCCCGAGGGAGGCCCAGTGAGGTACGGCCAGCGGATGAATCGCAGGTGAGACGCGCCGTGTTGCGTCGAGGTGATCTTCGTAAACAGGGTTAATTCACTGTGGCCACGCCGTTTTCGGCGCGGTTTCCTTCTTGCCTGTGGTTTTGATGGCGGCGAGCGCAGACTGTACAGCCGCTTCCACAATAGACGCGAGAGCCGCGTGGGTTAGTGCAATGGGCCGGTCGACGGTCGAATGCGGGGTCGTCCGCGGAACGCGGGTCGAGGCTTCGGCGGCGCTGAGGCGATGCAGTTGCGCCGTTGGGGGGTGCGGGGGGGCGGAAGCTATCCGTCCCTTTCCGCCGCGCTTCTTTGTCTTGCCGGTCCGCGGGCCACGATGGGTCGGCGGTTCGGCTTCTGGGTCCTTCTGTTGGGGTTTGGGCTGCTTCATGGCGGCCGAGGAGGCCACCGTGCCCGCCTTCTTGTTACGCATCTCGCTGCGACGAACGGGGCACGAGGAATGGTTTGCAGGGTGTGCGCCTTTGCAGTTGGCGCAGGTTGCGGGTTCGTCCCGCGGGCGCGGGCAGTCCGCTGCATGATGCTCGCCGCCGCATCGTACACAAGCCTGGGGTCGGTGGCAGTGGTGTGAGGAGTGCCGGAAAGCTTGACACCTGTGGCACTGCGCGGGCCCGCGTTTACCGCGCCACGCCTCCACAGTCAAGGCCGGCATGCACAGGAGCTCGGTGATGCAGAAAATGGCTGGGGTGAGGCCCGGTGTCCTCTTTAAGATAATCAGGAAGAGGCACCCGGGGCCCCCCTGGGATGACTGGATGCGCTGGGCGTGCACGGGCTCGAAGCCCCTGCTCTTGAGCTCCTTCATGATGAGCTGAGGGTCGGTGTCGGCCGGGAGGCCCCGGATCGCCACCTTGAAGTCGCGTTCGGCGGGGAGCGAGTACGAGAACCACGACACCTTCTGGTTCTTCTCGAGCTCCGTCAGGTACCGTTGCACGGTGCGGTACTCCTCCCCGTACTTTGGTGAGAAGCGCACCCCTCTGCCGAAGGGGCGCGCGTTCGGCGCGTGCCCGAGACGGTCCCTCAGGGCACGGAAGTGCGTCGTCCACTCGGGCAGGACCTCCACAATTAGTGGCGGGTAGCGCGGGGTGGCAGCGGCAGCGGCGGTGGTAGCGGTGGACGTCTGTGGCAGCGGCGATGCCGGGCGGCGGCCCGCGGCAGGTGCGGCCGCGAGCTGTGCGAACGACCGGGGTGCGTCGATCGTAGTAGCGGGCTCGGCGCTCGAGGTAGGCGCGGCGCTCGGAGTGTGCGCGGAGCGTACGGCAGGCGCGGCGATAGGCGCGGCAAGCGCGGCAGCGGGCGCGACAGGTGCGGCGCGCGGGGCAGGCGCGGGTGGCGCGGCGGGCTCCGGAACGGGGAGCGCAAGTCTTCGTCGCAACCGAGGATCCCGCTGGGAGAGGGGTTCCGGGAAGGACGGGATGGTAGCGTCCTGGCACGGCCTCTTGGGGTCGCGGGCAGGAGGGGAGGGGGATTCCGGTCGGGGGCGACGCAGGGGGGTCGACCGTGCAATGTTGCCGTAGGCAACTGCCGACTCGTCCTGCGTTAGGGGAGTGCTTAGCAATCCCTCGGCCCTTAGCTCTGTCTCGGTCCTGTCAAGGTACGCCCTGACCGCCGCGTTTAGGCCGTCCGAGAACGCTACTTGCTTCCTTACAATTGCGTAAGCAATTGCGTCGGAATAAAGCAACGCTCTCGGGGAGCCCCGCGGCGTAGGAGGGACGTCACCCGACAGGGACCGGAACATCGCGTCCAGGACCTCGGGAGAGCCTTGCGATAGGGCTAGGAAATGCGATTCGATGGAATCGAGGAAGGAAGGCATGGGCGTCGCAGCGATCTCGGCGGCGACGGTAGCAGCGGTGGCGTCATCGGCGGTGGCGTCAGCGGCGGTGGCGCTGGTGTGTGGAGTCACGTCGGGTTTCGATGATGATGCGTCGACGGCCCGAGCCGGATCACGTCGCGAGCCAGCTCGATCGCTAGTCGAGCGAAGGCGGCCGACGCCCGACGAGTTGAATTTCATTCTTGGTGTAGGTAGCAATGGTGGAGAAGTCGGCACGGCCTGAAGCGTGCTGCGCCCTCGGCCCAAGAGGCGAAGCCACGGGCGAGGTTCGGCGCAGTGCGCTGGATATCACGGTGTGGGCTCCGTTCGCCTTTCTTCCCGAAAGTCCACAGGAGACTTGTTGTTGCTTGTAGGCCCGTGTGCGAAGTGAGACTTCTGGCTGTCCACTACCTATCTAATAATTATAAACTGTAGTTAAAGGGTAATGTGTTCGAGACATCCACAAAGCCTCTACATTATGTCAGAGACTGAGAAATAAGTAATTTTAGAAATAGTATTTTATGTTTATATAACTTTTAAGTAGAAATGAGAATTAAAAATATCAAAATTAAACAACCCTATTATTAAGTATTGTTTTTATGTTAACAGTAATCTAATAGATCATACAATATGCATGAATTAGATATAAAAACACATTAGACATTACAGTAGAACATTAAAATGATCACACTACAATTTCTTGCATAATACGCCTCTATAGTCCCCCCATGATTCTTAAACCTGTATGCTGTTTAAAAAATCGCAATAGCCATATGTACTGGAATCAGTAAGGAATCTGGGATAGTGGCACAACAAGATTTTAATACAATAATTTTGTGAATAGAGACTGTCGGCAGAGTAAAAGTTCACTAGCAGAGCAACGACTCTGCTTTATGGCATCGAAATCATGATGATAACTTTTAGAAAGAATGTAATTTTTTAATGTACATTTTATTACCAAAATTTGAACTTAAACAGTGAAAAATGAGCTACCAATTGCGTAAACAACAGACAGTATTGAAACAAAATTAAATATTGTTGTGTTTTATATACACATGAGGTTATGTTTTAAATTGTATATTAAGACTAATATTGTACAGATAATATTGTGTGTGTTGGTTTAATCTTACTCATATATTTTCAGCCATAAGTTCCTTGGCTTATGAGAGGATGTGCATCCTCTTCAACATAGCTGCAATGCAGAGTGCAGTGGCAGCTCAGCAGCCCCTCGACACAGAGGAATCACTGAAGTTGGCTGCTAAACTATTGCAACAATCTGCCGGCGTATTCTCTTTCTTGAAGGGGAATATCATGTTGGCCGTGCATCAGGAGACCACGCCAGATCTCAACCCTGAAACTCTGAACGCTCTCTCACAGTTGATGCTGGCTCAGGCTCAAGAAGTTATCGCTTTCAAGTGCATCAGAGGTAGGTGTCATTAGGTAACAAAGTGAGCACTCACACTTGAATTGAAATTATAAAATGTATGTTGGACAGATGAAATGAAAGATAGCATGGTGGCCAAGGTGTGTTCTCAGTGTGAAGAGCTGTATACGGATTCTTTGAGGTCCATGCAGAAGGATTCACTGAAGCACCTGTGGGAGCGTGAATGGATATCCACTGTAAGTAATGCTACAGTTTCAAAACTGCAATGCTCAGCCTTTTTCATATACCCAATACATTTCGGAACATATGACTCCATCACAGGAATAGAGTTTGAATATAAAGAGATTTTTATTATAATATCAATATACAGGTCACCACAAAGCAAGCAACATTCCGAGGGTTGACTCATTACTACCAAGCTAAGGTGTGTCATGAGAACAAAGCTGTAGGCGAAGAGATTGCACGTCTCCAGGTATTGTTGACTGTGTCCTCCTAATATTAGAATATAATGTATGGATATACAATAAATGTTCACCTATTAAAAATACATACCTATAATCCAATGTTCTAAAAAAATTTTGGCGACAGAATTTGTCTATCTAGAGATGGACTCGCAAGACCAGGACGCGGAGGAGGTTGTATTTAAAAAATAAATATGATGCCCAAAGTAAAATTCCACGCGGACGAAGTCGCGAACACAACTAGTAACAACAAGTAATTTAATATAAGTTGTAAGTATTGTTGCAGCTCGCAACAGAGCTGCTCAAAGGTGCGAGTACGGGACGCGCGGCCGAAGCAGCGCGAGCGGCAGCGAGGCAATTGGCCGCGGCGACGCGAGACAATGATTTTATCTATCACGAACGCATTCCAGAAGCGGCCAATCTAGAACCCGTTCAACGCGCGCCGGTGGCTAAGCCGCTGCCGCCGCCTTCGCCGCCGACCCGCTGGTCTCAAGGTACGTCGGAAACGCGGCCGGTGTCCTGCCGTGCTTCAATAATTCGTTCGCCGACTAACGAACGCCCTCACGGCAGGTAAGGACTTGTTCGGGTCCCTGGTGCCAGCCGTCGTACAGAGCGCACTCCAAGCCAGCGACTCGAGGCGCGCCGAGTTGGTCGGCACCGAGGTTAACAAGTTGCGGGAGGCCACGCAGCTTCTGAACACAATCCTCGCCTCGCTCAACCTGCCCGCTTGCATCGAGGCTACGACCGGGGGCGCTCTGCCCGACTCCATCCGCGAAAAGGCGCGGGCCGTACGCGAACAGGGAGGAGTGCGTGCGCTGCGGTCGTTGATGGCCGAGTTGCCCGAGCTACTGCAGCGTAACCGGGACATCCTCGGCGAAGCCGACCGGATGCTGCGCGAAGAGGCCGAAGCCGACGCCACGCTGCGAGAGCAATTCGGCGCGAGATGGACACGCACCGCTTCGGAACGTCTGACCGAGGCCTTCCGCGCGAACCGCGACAAGTACGCGCAAATCATCGACAACGCCGTGCGCGCCGATGCTATAGTGCAGCAGAAGTTTCGGCAGCACGAGGAGGTCAGTTCTGTTTTCCTTTTTTCTTTTCGACAGAAGTCAGTCTTCTTGTTTGTGTGCTCACTGTGCGATTACAGAGTATAGAGCTGCTGAGCCGCAGCGAGGGCGAGATCGATGCGGACGTGCCGGACGCCCCCGCCGCCGCGCAGCCCTCCGACCGCGAGGCCACCGCGACTCTGCGTACGCTCATGGGCCAGGTAAGGCGCGACTCGGGTGCCACTATCATTCAGGAAAGCAGCGATTTATATGACACGACCTCTTTCGAACAGGTCGAGACTTTAAAAGCGGAGCGCGACGAAATCGAGACCTCGCTGAAGGATACGACTGTAGACATGCGTGAACGTTTCTTGGCGGCCCTATCGGCCGACGGGGCTTTCGACGAGCCTGCTCTTTCGGCCGCCGCGCTTGGTTCGGCGCTTAGCCCTCTGCAGCGGCGCACCGCCGACACTCTCGCTGCGCAGGAGAGACTCGTCGCCCAGCTGCAGGTGCCTTCATTTGTTCCAGCGCTCGATAAATGGACTCGATTTCACGTGACATAATGTGCGATATGTATAGGAGGCGCATTCCAAGCTGATGGAGAGTCACGGCGGCGCCAGCGGACGAGACCAGGCTCTGGGCAAGCTGTGCGCCGCTTTCGACGCCTATCAGGACCTGACGGCCAACCTGCGTGAGGGTGTCAAATTCTACAACGATCTGACGCAGTTGCTGGTGGCATTCCAGAACAAAGTGTCCGATTTCTGCTTCGCGCGCAAGACGGAAAAAGAGGAACTTCTTAAAGATCTGACACAAGAGGCGTCGCGGCCCGCCGCGGCCCAAGCGCCCGCGCACACGCCCCAGCATCATCGCGACGTGGAGGTTAGAACGGAGGTTAGAATTCTTAAGAGGTTACTCCAAAATGCGTCTGCCAATCATATTGTCTCTATCGCCCTTTCAGCCGCAGGTAGTGAAGAAAGAGGCGCCACCGAGGCCGGCGCCCCCGGCTCCTGCGGGGGCTCTACCCTACCCCTCGCAACCGCAGGGTATGCCCCTTCCGTACGGGGCCGCCCCTGCGCCGTACCCGGTCTACGCGCCGATGCCGGCGCTCTACAATCCGTATGCGACATTACCGTACCCCCACCATGTGCGTGCGCAGCCACCGCCGCAGCCCTATCAAGCCTACCAGTACCCGCCTCCGCCTGCAGGCTACTCGCAGCCACCGCCTCCCGGCTACAACCCTTATCAGCAATAGACGTCGCACGAATTAGGCGAGTACCTTCCCTGAACGGCGCGCATTAATTGATCAGTTTGCAGGTACACCGAATACCGATGATGAGGTGAACTATAGATAACTAACTAAGTTAAGACCTCGGCATGTACATATGTTAAGGGGGAGTTACAAGCTATTATTAGTATTTTAAAGAACTACATAATTTGTTTGCCAATTTAAAAATTGAAATATTACAATTAATTCTAATAAAGTAATGCATATACCTATTACCTATTATTGGAGACTACATGCTTTTCATATATTTTATTACTAGTTTAGTGGAATGTTATTACTGTAAGGTGATGTTAGTTCTCTATAAAATCAATTATTTATTAATAACATTATTTTTGAAAAGTAGTTTTATTCCCCTTCACGAAACTAAAGCGCAAGTTTACTTGTTGTTTCGGATGAATACATTATATCAGTTTTCTAATGAATTGAAGAATAGTTATAGCTCCTCTTCATCCTTAGAAACCTTAGCTGTTACTTGTTACTGTCCTTGTAAAGTTAATCTCTAAAGAAAGACATATACACTGTATGTCTTTCTTTACGCGGACTTGTTTTTTGTATTATTGAAAGAGAAATCATTCTTTCATACATACTTTTTGGGCATCTTAAACTGGTTTTCGCAGCGAAGATGCGCGAAATGAGAAAGAAATTGTTTCTTCGCTTTCATTAGTTACAGCGCGGTATTTTCTAGTCTAGCCCGTGCCCTTTTTTTTTTTCTTTTTTTTTTTTTTTTTAATCTATATGTATAGCCTTCCTCGATAAATGCTCTAACCAACGCAAAGAATTTTTCAATTCGAACCCGTAGTTCCGACGATCCCGGAAACAAACTCTTCAGTTTTACATATTAGTATAGATATTTTATATGTATAGAGTGCAAGCGTTTGCTAGATTTTGAGGTTTTTGTTCTTATTCCTTCTCATTGAATACTCTTGAAATAATAAGTTCTTTATTAGAGATAAGTTGTTATAATTGATCTAGAATGTATTTTACTGATGACATAATACAGATATAGATAATGTTGCAATAAACAAAACAAAAAAGTATACAGCTATTTATTAAATTAAATCATCTAAAAGTTGATTGGTTACTAGGGATCAGAAGTGCTTTAATACTTGGGTGCAGGGGACTCCTCCTTGGTGTAGTCTATGTTAGGGGAGTAGAACTGAAACAAATCGAAGTTCATTAATATTTAGTAAGTAAACACACTTATAGGGAGAACTACCATTCATTATTTAAGTCCTCAAGTGTCTACAAATTTAACTCCAAGGTCGACCTTGTTCGTAGAAGCAGCGACAAACATGAAAACAGTGTATAGTTCAGATATTATACTGAAGCCATTCTCTCACAAGTATGAGTTCAGTTGACGAGAGGGAGTAGCCATATAACAATGACATTTTTACTTAATTGTTATTTTGATTAATAAGGCATAGGCACAACATAACGTATGGTAAAAGGATTATTATTGGCATTCTACAAGTAAGCCCAGGAGAACTGCATTAGAGAATAAAGAAAACAATAACTTTCCAATCAAACATCTTCCTAGATTTCTTATATTGGTATCCAAAACAGAAATAATGATATTAATAGCTGTCACAAATCAAGGGTCCAATCCAATCATAAGTATGCTTAATATGTTGTAGCAAATCAAAATTTAAATGACATAATTTTCTTGATTCTATTCTGCAAAGAATACAAACTTTGTACTGCTTGTTCCTGTACTCTTCCCAGGGTTCAGGGTTGGAGCGCTTATTCCATGACACGTCAGGGTTGCGCAGGGCGAGCCGAAGCGTGTAGAAAAAAGAGGCTCCGCATCCCAATCCCACACAGACGAACAGCGGAATCAACTGCGAGACAACACTTGTTATTGTCCAAATTATAAGGGGACATCGATGAATAATTCCACTGACATATTTCGCGTTTTAAAACATTTAATGTATTCTCTTTGAGGGGCCTTTGCTCATTATCTAACTACAAAAAGTACCACAAAAACGAACAAAAAGGATAATTGGCATGAAATTTATATTTAGTAAGTCAATAAAGTATGAAGTATAACAATTTATAGGTTAATTATGTAACAAATGAAATATTACTTACAGCTTTGTGCTTCTTAAGACTCTGAATACTTAATCCTTGCATATTTAAGTGTTTTTGCTTCGTTAAGTAACTAAAACCAGAGTGATGTTAGAAACTGACTACTGCGTCTTAAAATAAATATCTTTATCGCTATTCGCCTATTGACTTTCGCTGCAATCTATGAAAGGATACTGCGGTCTGCGCGATTCCTACAACCGTCAACCAAATTGATTATTGCATCTGTCAAGCATTTAGTCAGCTGTCACAAAACAAGATAAGTCTAAGAATTCCATTCCACGTAAATACGAGTATGGACATTTCTTATTAAATGGCGAGATTATTCAAAAATTTAAAAAAAAAACAGAATAACAAAAATGGTTTTTAAAACGCTTTTGCACGTAATTAATCAAATGAGGGGCATCAATCATTTGGTTAATTGCGGTTTCCTGGACATGCCCAATTACCTGTATCGTTCTTAGTAAAATCTGCTTACAAATTAAGTAAAAAAAGAAGTCGATCTAACCCAGGTATGTAATTTAGTACTCTTACGGTATTACAGACCACAGTTAGGGTCAACTTGCCGCCCTAAAACATTTTAAATTTTTATTGACATGATTTCACGTTCATCGTTCATCTCTGACTATCTGTGTGACTGTGTCAGTAGTCGATGCATGACAGTTGCATTTATTCGCCAACTAGGAAGGTATTCTGATATACCTATTCTGTTTTGGAATCTCCAATCGTGAATTTACTCAAAAATAAATAAATAAATTGATTATTGTTACATAGGATTCGTTGAAATATTTTTTGTACAAAGGAAGTGACAATAATATTTATTCACGTATGGACTGTGAGAATCGGCAAAATGAGTTTTTTATTGTGAGTTATTTATATGTTTATGTTTTAATTTTAACTTAGCGAGTATTTCTTTACAATCGCCATGTTTTCAAAATGAAATCGTTAGTATCGGGACGGTGACCGTGTAAATCGTTGCAGTGGGAGCCGGTCTAACAAGACTTTTAAGCCAAAGAAGAACATTCCTGAAGGTACGCACCAATATGATCTAATGCGACATGCCGCGGCTACTCTGGGCTCGGGCAACTTGCGTCTCGCCGTGATGCTGCCGGAGGGCGAAGATCTCAACGAGTGGGTCGCTGTCAACAGTGAGTTTTTCAATAAATATGTATGTGCTCAGAAGAGCATTCCAGAGCAGAGATCGTCGAAATATTATTATTATTTTATATTAGGGACACCTATAGAATACCAAGTGATCAGTTTACATTTTCTAGTAAGAATTTCACCTATTTCCTCTTTACAAAGAATATTGGGTTATCCAAATCTCACTGTCTCCTTCAATTATATAATCAATAGAAAATTGTTAAGCCAATATTAAACTATTATACATGTGTATGGTTTTAAATTTAATTGCATTTTTTAAAGTTGTATGCTATTGTTATCCCAATAAAGCTTTATTGTGTAATCTTGACACACAGGAAAGTGTCTGAGACATACAATAATAATGTTAAATGATAATGAAATCAACATTTATTAGGGCCCCTGTACTCCCTTCATTAATTTTACTGCAGTTTGTGTTTATTATTATTATTTTGACCATTTATATAGGAAATCTGTTTTCCCTGTGTGAGTCAAACACACTTCTGCATCCTTAGCAATACACAATCATTTCACTTCTGTTTCACCTGATTGAAACTAAGTATTATCATCTATTTCTTTTCATCACTGAAACAAATGTATACTGAATGAAAATATTTGAACTATAACTAATTTTTAACTTTTATGGTTTACTAAATGTTTATTTATTGAGAATTGTAGAAGTATAATGTAAAAATCGAAAAAAAAATGACATTGGATTTGGTGGACTCGGCACTGCACGGAACGCCGACACTTCTGGTTCAAGTCCAATTTTCGATTTTTAAATTATGTAGTGCCATCATGTGCACAATATTATTTAATTTAATTTTCTAATTGTAAGCATTTAAATTACTACTTGCATACATTGTTTCAGCTGTGGATTTTTTCAATCAAATCAATATGCTGTATGGAACTATAACAGAGTTTTGCACAGAGGAGTCTTGTGCTGTGATGTCAGCAGGGCCCAAGTACGAGTACCACTGGGCGGACGGCCACACAGTCAAAAAACCCATTAAGTGCTCTGCACCTAAATATATAGACTACCTGATGACGTGGGCTCAAGATCAGCTCGACGATGAGACTTTGTTTCCATCTAAAATAGGTACCATGCAGTTGCAATTTTTTTAATGATTGCATTTAAAGAATATCTAGAAACAATTTAATAGTGTCTTTTTCTAGGTGTGCCATTTCCAAAAAATTTTCTGTCAATGGCAAAGACAATCCTGAAACGACTGTTTAGGGTGTATGCTCACATCTACCACCAACATTTTCCTGAAGTAGTGCAGCTCGGAGAAGAGGCTCACCTAAACACCTCTTTTAAGCATTTTATCTTTTTCGTTCAGGTAAGCGTAAACATCTCCCGGCTACGGCGTTCTTATCCTTGTGTATGCCAATCGAGTTCTTATTGTGGTTGCAGGAGTTCAACCTTATCGAGCGACGCGAGTTGGCGCCGTTACAAGAACTCATCGAGAAACTGACTGCGAAAGAAGCGCGGTGAGCTCGACTGACCCACGATTTACATATCAACATGGTATTTCGGGGCTTCGACGGACCCGCCTTGATATTAGACTATTAATAATTCAGGACGACACTGCCTTCCCTTTACTACTGCTATATATACTGTAAAGATGGTTTAGATTTGATACAAATGAACTCTAGTTGAAAATTAACTTAGTGAGACTAATAAATATAACATAATACTCAAGCTTAGGATGCCACTCTGGGTTCACGGTTTATTCTGTGGACTTTATTCTCGTACATTTTGTATTTATTACGAGACACGTTTGCTACCTTGAAATGAATTGATGTATGGCTGACATAAATTATTTATTTATTCTTGCAATAAAGTTAACATATTAACATTATTTATTGTATTAAACATCTAAACTTAGGTGTTTCTTCGTTTGCTTTGTGTATCTCAAAATAATTATCTAGCACAAATTTGAATCAATTGTGATTTTTAATTTATGAAACAAGGAAAGGAAACAATAACCATTTTGAGACTATTAATTTTATTTTAATACATACTGAATTCATTAAAATAACTCCCATCGGTCGTCGTCAACGGGAAGCTCAGAGAATTTCCGTAAGTTTAATGCGAGAAAGTGCTGCACGTTAAGTATTATGAAATGTGAGCGGCAACTACGACGACGACACCGGAGGCGGCGGCGGCGGAGGCGCGAGGAAGGGCGGGGGCGGGGCGGCCCAGGGTGGGGGAAACGCACCGCGCCATCCATTGCCCGAAACGCCGCCCATCATGCCTGTTGGTGAAATATTCTATCAATTTTCTATTCCAAGTTTTGAGCTGACCAATCCATAAAGGGCTTACCTGGCGGAGGCGGAGGCATCGCGCCAACGCCGTCTCCTTGGTGATGGAGATGATGCGGCGGTGGGGGCGGGAAGGCAGGCGGTGGCGGGGCGCCGCCCGGAGGAGGCGGTTGACTGCCTGCGCCGAGCCAGGGCGCATGGTGCGGCGGAGGATGTGGGGGCGGAGGAAACATTCCTGGAGGCGGCATGATAGCGCGAGGCGGCGGCGTGGCAGTGAACACGTTCTGAGCGGGTCGACGCTGCTGCGGGGCAGAGGCCCCCAATGGCGGGGGCGGGGGAGCTTCGCCGAGCTCTGCCATGAGTGACATATACTCTTCGTCAATCTTGGCCTTGGCCGCAGGCAAGTGCGTTTGGCCCGGGCGCTTAGCGCGACAATCGCGCGCGATGTGGCCGGCACCGCCGCACGAGGAGCACACGATGGCGCTGGTCACGTTGGGCTTGTCTGGACATAACCACGTTTTATGGTCGGCGGCCGAGCAATTGGCGCAGCGCGGCCCCTCCGTCTCCCGCAGCGTGCCGTTGAGTTGAGCCAGCTCGCGAAGCTGCATTCGGCGCAAGTCGTTCTGCCCCTCTGGCACCTCCACACCTTGCCTAATTACCTCCTTGATCTTTTCAACCGCCTTCTTGACGCAGTCCGCGCTCGTGGCCGTTATGTATGCGTGCAGCGGCTCATCTTCACCTGGCAGAGGCTGTCCGTCTTTTCGTCCAACTTTGCCTTCTTTCACTGATCCTTTGCCCCGAATAATTATCTTCGCGCCGGTCTCCTTCTCCATGGCTAAGGACATATATTTTAAAATTAAATGGGCCAGATCTGGAGTGAAACCTCCAACGAATCAATGAAAAGCATTGAAAAAGTAGCTTCCCTAATGGCATGTTTCTGTCTAAAAGTAGCTAAAGTTTATATTTGCTATTTGATCTTGATAAAAATGGAAATAATAATTGTTGCTTTTTACCTTTGAGCGTATTCCCGCGAGGCCCGATCAGCAGCCCGACGAAATTTATGTCAGGGTGCTCCTCCTGAGGAATCATCACCTTGTCGTGCACGCGGATGATCGGGGGCCTGCGAAGCACGCGAAGCTTTAACGAGCCGATCTTGAATGTAGCTCGAGTAGTCTTAGTCATACTCACTTGTAGTCGGGAGGCGGCTTAAAGTCAGGGTTGATCGTGTGCATGCGCGTCACGAGGCGATGCCTCTCCTCCTCTAGCTTTCGGCGGGTGCGATACTCGCGGGTGTTCAGCCGCTTCCCGTCCGTCGAGTAGATGGGCTCGGGCGACGGGGACCTGCGCAGGCGCACGCACTCATAACGGCTCTGCTCTGGCGCACGTTCGCTTAGCGGTCGAGCGTACGCCAGTGTAGCGACGTTAGTTATAGATCAAGTGTCTTGTAAGGTAGATCAAATCATGAAATTGTCGCAAAATGAAATTCGGTATTATATTTGAAGCGGTTTCGTCCCAACTCAAACGTCAATAAAACGCTTCTAGCTTAGTCTAGCGTAACCTAACGCCCTAAAAAGAATAATTCAATTAAATCCTAAAATCGAATCGATAGAGCTGAAAATTAAGTCGGTTATGATTAACCTGAAAATAGGAATAAGTTTAATTGAATTATTAACATGCGGACATTCGGTCACCTGCGAACGTGGAAAGAGTGGAGGTGAGAGAGAGTGTGTGTGTGTGTGTGTGTGTGTGTGGGCGTGTTTGTCCCGTGTAGGGAGTGAATAGTGGATGATACTCAGAGGGTCCAGCGTAGAGTACCTCTCGTCGACGTTGTGCGGGATGCCGAGGTCTCCAGAGCGCAGCTTGCGGGACACCTCCTCGATCTGCAGCTGCACTGCAAGGCAACGGGTTAGCCACGCACGGCCACAAGCACCACATTAGATATTTTTATCGCTCACTCTCCGCGACTACCACGGACTCGTTTATTTATTAATGCTATCATTCATCGTCATACAGTTAGATTTAATCACAAAGAGAATCGTTAGAGCTGGAAATAAAATTTTATTTTATGAAAAGAGCACAAAATTGTTTCACAATTATCGCTGTCGCGAACACACCGAACTAAGTTGCTTCTGTTTTTAAACTTGAATAAATAATGCAAAAGGGACCCAAGGTCTAATGAGGCACTCACGTAGATATTGCTCTTCCTGTTCTTTAGTGAGCGTGGAAGGCAGCACCGTGGGAAGGCCCGGAATGAAGGTCTTATCGTGTTCAGAGCCCATCCAGCGTGTGCGGCGACGGCGAGCGCGTCTTTCTGCTGGCGTTTCTCCCTCGGGACCTGTTCAGGGGACGCGTGAGTTGGTTGTTGTTTACTGCGTAAACTTAAACGGTCTGAAGATTCACCTAAACCGTCGTCTTTATCGTCGTCGGGATGATGGTCGAGCAACATTTTATCCCGGTAGCGCGACTCCGTACGCGCCTGTAGCTGTTCTAACTTCTGCTGCACCGAGGTGGGAGGCGGAATAGCCGTGGCCGCCGAGAGGGCTGCAGCCGCGGCCGCCGCCGGCTGCACCGGAGCTGCGATGCGTCGCTGCGCCACAAACGTCTGTTACACACACAACACCCGCCCTCCATTGTTTTAGATCTCGGTCATACTAATTGGACTTGAGCAATGACTACCATTCTCAGTAATAGAACCTTACACCATAAAACTAAGTTGTGACACGTGTTTAATCCGGCTATTAAGGCTGCATAGCAGATAAAGAACCAATACTTTACCATAATATCAATACAACTCTAAAAATACATATGAAAATTAATGTTGAAAAATATACTACTTTTCTACTAACTATTCCTGTTATATAAGAGAATAGGGCTAACCATAATATGAACTACATATTTCATGACTTAAAATGAATAAAATGGTCATAAATATACTAGCATGTGTAACTAATCTTTTAATACCTGCGCGACAGCTGCTGCAGCTAAAATAGCCGCTTGAGTGGCAGAGTTCACATTGCCATTGGGTGTCACTTGACGAGCTGTGGCCTTAGTAGTAGTCCCCACCATTTGATCGAGCAGAGCAATGGAGCAATAGTGTTTTGATTGTTTGCTTGTTTGCCCAAATCTTTAATAAATGTTTTGAAAGGAAAATCAATCACAAAGTATTTAGGGTTAAATTATTATGGCATTGATAAAATACATCTTCAGTTTAAGTAAAGATCAGGTGCAACAACATTTGATAAACAAATCAATGTAAAACAAAAACCAGAGGAAGAATAGCAGAAGGGAATCAGTACTTAGAAATTATCAAGATAAAATTATCATATAAACAATGTTATGTACATACATATAACATTGGTAAAAAGTTAAGAGTTTTGTATAATTTTAGACTATTTACTATTATTATATTTAGTATAACATTTTAGTGAAAAGCACACTTAGCGCACTGAATATTCGAACTAACCTATCTTTGGATTTTCTACCTCGACTTCTACTACGACTACGACTCCTACTGCGCTTCTTTTCTCGGTGACGTTCCCGGCTGCGACTTCGGTCACGATCTTTACTGCTTCTTCTACAACAAAATTATTTAAGATGCGAAACTGGCTGACACACATTCATATTAAAAAACATTTTAGCGTAGCTTCTAATCGAGGGCTTTAAGTTAAGCGTGAGACATAAATGAATTAGTTAAACCTTTTGGAGCGGTGGCGATCTCTATCCCGGTGTCGCTCCCGGTCTCCGTCACGATCGCGATCCCTGTCCTTCTCCCTGTCCCGCCCCTTCTCTCGTTCCTTGTGCCTTTCTCGATCACGCGAACGACTTCTATGACGAGAACTCATTGTTTCGATGTGGATTCAGGGGATTACAGATTTATTCCGTATAAAGAATAATAATTAACAAGTTATTGTTACTATGGGCAGCAGCAATTTACAAAATATTAGCATATTCTAGTAAATACAAAAATATTTCTCATCAAATATGGTGAATACACTATGCACTTATGCCAGTAATTACTAACTGTAATATGCAATATGTCTTAAACGAAAACAAAATGGAGTATGTACCACAGACTGATAGCACAGTCCACACACAACTTTATTATCTACATTGTGTCTATACACTATTCCAACTGAATTTATATTATAGAAAATAAAATGTTAAACTAAATTACCACCAAAAAAAACCAGATTCAATTCAGATTGTCGTGCTATTGCGAAAAAAGTGACCATAAAATGAGCATTTTTTTTATTGGCGGATAAATAATGTCTAAGTACACTACACTACTAAAGTTACGCTACGGTACACTAATAAAATGTTTGTATAACATCTTTGAACCTCTTCTTTTATCCGTATCATTCACATGATTGCTTACTTATACAGGTATTTGAGAATGTCAGTTTTCTGATTTTTATAAAATTAAAATTTCGAAGTACTTTCCGTAGTTAATGTCCTTCCCGTAATTTATTTTAGCATTATTTTTTATTTATACTTATATATAAAGCTGAAGAGTTAGTTCGTTTTAACGCGCTTAATCACAGGAATTATTTATTTTTGTATCGGTTAGAATATTCAAAGATGCCAATCGGATGAAAAACATTAATATTTTTCAAATGTTATTGCACATGAACGCACTATATAATTTAAAGATCAAAATAAAAAAAATATTTTCGACTCGGCAGGACTGAGCTACCGAGTCAGTTGGTAGAGCAAAGCACGAAAGCTGACCTGCCGGTTCAAGTCCATACACTTTGTTTAAAGATCGAAAATAAATTGAAAAAATTTTCGACTCGGGCAGGACTGAGCTACCGAGTCAATTGGTAGAGCAAGAGCACGGAAAGCTGACGATGCCGGTTCAAGTCCTGCCCGAGTCGAAAATTTTTTCAATTTATTTTCGATCTTAAAACAAACGTGTATGGCAAAATTTTGTTCTAAATTAGAATGCATTAGTTTAGAACAAAATTTTGCCTAATATTTTTCAACGAACTTATGCTGTGCTTTTCTTTTCAAACTCGGTCAACCCGATTTCTGTATCAGTCTTATGATAAAAGTTTGATTATCCTTCGTCCTTTCAAGCTAGTTGCCTCTTTATACCTCCTCCATATATAATCAAGACATAATCCATTTTATATTTATTGTAGAACCTCGAAACGCTACACATCGGCGTCTAGATCCTTCAACAGCAACAGAAAATGGGACAACAATTTTTTTATTTAAGATTAAATATATTTTCTGAGCCACTTTATTGTATTTTTTTTTTGTATGCCTTCTGCCAAACATATACATAATATAAGTTAAACATATTCTAGAAATAATTAATATAGCAGTTTGACATTTGCAGGCATTAGTTGGCTTTGTCTCACTTGCGTCCAAATAAAATACATAAATTATTTTCCAATATAATTTACAAATCAAAATACAAGGTCTTACAATTTACAACAGTTTTAACATTCCAAATTTTCATGAAAAATATTTATTACCAACGCTCTCATGTTTGTCACCTTAAAACAAATTACAAAATCAGCAAATGATATAACATAGCTTGGAGCTAACGGAAGGACAAGTGTAATCAAAAGTCCAGGGATTGAATAGTACAACTCCACAGTGATGGATACTAGTCCTGCATTAAATTAGATTACCTTAATACTAATACAATCATTATATTCCTATTTATCTCCTTATTAAGCTAAAATATGCTATGGCTTATAATTAAGTGTAAGTCCGACAGTCAAATCACCGAATAGCCCACATCACTAATGTTTAACAAATAACAGCAGTGATCAACTTTAGAGTGATGATGATTGTGTTCCATTCGCTGAGTCTAAGTGTCCGCTATTTGTCTGCAACAAAAGACGTGCTTCATATAACAAGATTTTGGGTTCTTTAATTGCAAAATTAGAAAGCTCAGATACTAATACTTACATGTATTAAACGGGTGCCCCTGGTCCACCTTTTTTGCCAATAAGAGACTTGTGAATGTGGGGAATAACACCACCTCCTGCAATAGTGGCTTTAATTAGGCTGTCCAGTTCTTCATCTCCTCTGATAGCAAGCTGCAAGTGACGCGGGGTGATTCTCTTCACTTTAAGATCCTTAGAAGCGTTGCCAGCTAACTCCAATACCTAAGGAATAATATAAAAAGGTTTCTCTATATTTTCACTATAAAGAAGACTGTCATGACCGACAGCAAATGATAAAAATAAATTCAGACAAGTAATAATTTGAATTAAACTAAATAATACATTAGTAATGTTTCTTTTACACCTAGCCCCTCTTTCCCGCCAAAATGTTTGTCAACAAGAAACAAACACAATGCCATTAGGTCATAAGTGCTATTTTAAAGATCATCAAATAATGGTGCATTTCATTAAGAATAATTAATCATTGTTCTGGTATAATTCAAATTATAAAAAAGGTAGTAAATACGCGCAGCCGCCATATTGCTGAAGCGTCACTCACCTCTGCTGTGAGATATTCGAGAATAGCGGCGGAATAAACCGCTGCGGTTGCTCCGACTCGCCCGTGACTGGTCGTTCTGTTTTTTAAGTGCCGGTGGATTCTTCCGACTGGAAACTAAAAATTTTCAACGATTTGTTTATCATCGATTTAGTGGTATGGAGAAACTTCGCCGCCATACTGATTAGGTCAAACGTATTATTTAATTTTATGAACTACGCAATAAAACCTAATATTATAACAGCAATCGATCGTAAAATCGCAAATTATTTTTAAAATAGTATTTATCATACCTGTAATCCAGCTCGAGCAGATCTAGACACGGCTTTCGCTTTGGCTTTGCCAGAGTCTTTACCAGCTTTACCTCCAGCCTAAAAATCGAGAAAAACCTATTAAAATTTGTCGTACGAAGGTGAAACTTCACCAGTACATAGTTTACACTGTTTTCCAATGAATCACATATCAAAATCTGCACTTCGAACACTATTTTTCACAAAATCTTGTAAAACTCACCATACTGAAACGTGTATCGCACTATCACAACTGAGAGAAACCAATACAGGAAAGGCGCGAAGCGAGCCAAATCGTGAAGACAAAGATGGCAGCGCCGCTTTTTCAATTAACCGTTTGGGTTGGCCAACCGAGACGCCGGAGCGGAAATCAAGCCCAGACGAACGCCAATAGACGCGCTTCGCGCTTCTAGCTTTAAAATGGCGTCTGCCCTCGCGAACGCCACAGTGCTGCCAAGCCATAACGCGGAGATCTTTAGAAACTTTCGTGAATCGGACGAATGACGTCTGACACTATCTAATGGCATTGTCTTATTTGTCACTACTCACTGCTTAACATATACACGTTTGCGGGTTGTCTGTTACATCAGTGCAAGGCGGGAAATAATACTCTCTACCGAAAATTTTACATAGTTTTCACTCTTCTAATCTTTACACAGAATAAGTACGTAATATTGCTATATAAAAAAGTAAACTACTATTTGACCGATTGTTATACCCAAACTAATCAAATTATTATCTAAGTCATTTATAGAATTACTATTATATATTTCATACCTATATCAATAAAAATTACATTGTGAAAATTGTTACACTTAAATACAATTAGAATATTTAGTGAAAGCCAAGCCCACGTCGAATTACTTTTAGTACGTTCTAATATTATAATATCTACCAAACTACCAAATATATTGCACTAGCTGTGCCAGCGACTTCGTCGTCGTCCGTATTGCAAACTTCTTCCTTATCTTTATAAATTATAAGTGTTGAAGGATAAGGATTTGAATAATATTAAAATGGGTAATCTTTCCTGTATCTCTAAATCAAAATTGTACAAATTCGTTATTGTGTCATAACGGTAAAAGATCGACATATTATGTATCTGTATCGCACACTGTTATTTCATCGTCACTAGTAAAACGTTACTAAAGTTTTAGTGGGACTCCCTAATCCTTTTATTTAGGGTAAATGTACCTTTTTTAATGGTGAAAATTTTTTTAAATCAGGTTTTTAGTTTTTCAAACACACAAACAGCGTACAATCTTTATAATATTAGCGTAGATTGTAATTAATTCGTGTTCAGGACTTAAACAACTTACAAGCACCAATAAGCATCAAACTGGAGAATAAAGTTGTCTCAATATTTTTATAAACGTAATAATAACAATAAACGCGATATATATTAGTTAAACTTATTTGAAAATTATTTTTTAACTTCGGCCCGATGTTTTGGATCGGCAGCAGCCGTGGTCACCGCATATGCAGCGTTTTAAACTGCTCGTGTTTTTTTTAATGTCTACTACTTTTTAATTTAAATAGTTTTTTTTTTAATATTGTCTTTATTTCCACAACTACCCACTTATTTTATTTATTCCATAAGATGTTAATGTTTAGTTCACTTGATATAGCATATGTACAATGTTATACCTATGTTATTATGTTGGATCCGATGAGACTCGAACGTGGCAGTTTACTTTCAATTGTAATTCTGCCTCCGAATATCCTAATAAATAAGAACAGACTTTAGAACGGATACCTTTAATTTGAAAAGATTATCTCTTAGTCTAAGTTATTGTTAATAATTACAATTTTTGGTTTCATCATCACAGAGTCTAAATTGTTATTAAAATATGTATATCACTACATTTTCTGTTTTGAATCGTACGTCTGGGGAGTGAAATGCCAGCGAAGAGTGTGCGACCGGCGACGCCGCTTAGAGTGCGTCATCCGACAGTTCGTCGCAGCGATCCTCTAGCTCGTACTGAAATGGAAATCGAAGTCAGCATTAAGGGCTTCCGAGTCGCAGCCAGGACGCGTCACAAAGACAAAAGTGCAAAAAAGGTTACCTCGTCAAGTTGTAGACATTTGCCCCACTCGGCGAGCGTGATGCGGTGGTCGTTGTCCTCGTCGCAGAGGTCGAGGAACGGCGCGATGCAATGCTCCAGCGCCATCAGGGGCGCGCGGATGGGAAACAACTCGTGGCGGGACACGAATCTGGGAGATCGAGAGAGCGTTACAAAGCGACCGCAGTCGGGCCGGGCCCAGTCGGCGGGGGGAGCAGGGCCTACCTGTCGTTGTCGTGAGTGTCGAGGTCGCACCACTTCCAAATGGCCGCGTTCGTCCAGCGGCGCGTAAGGTTGGACTCGGCCTCGCGCTCCATACGCAGGTAGTGCGGCGTGAGCTCGCGGCGCTCGGCCATATCGCGCATGATGTTGAAGAGCCAGTCGCGCATGCGCCGCGGGAAGTCGGCCATCTCGCTGTCGGTGCAGTCGGGCATCTCGCGACACGCTCCGTAGTACTCGATCTGGACGTGGTGGTACTCGGGCCCGCGGCACAGCTCCGAGTTGTCGAGGCACAGGCACCGCTGCCGGTACACCTCGCAGTCGGACGACCAAGTTTCGTTGTTCTGGGTGCACACCTTTCTCCTGGAGTCGGTCTCGTAAGGGCACTCTTTGATGCAGTTGCACACCGCGTCGCCGTGCTCGTCGATCTCGCAAACGCGACCCGCGCTGCAGTGCACCTTCAGGCAAGGGTCTGAAACAACGCGAGGGGTTAACGATCGGCGAACGACGAGGGCGGACTCACCTCGCCCTTCGCTCACCGTCCATGAACACCTCGTTCCCGGCGTCTTCTTCGGAATCTCCGTTCAAGATTTCGTTGACCCGCGCTTTCTCAGATTCCTAGAAAGCATCATTTTACAAAGGTTAGGTTTTCTACGTTCGTTAACTAATTTAGCAAAAATAAAAGCGTTTTTAATATTCTATCTCTTTCTCTATGATATTTTACTTTTGAACAATTCATGTCTTTGTTTGTTAAATTTCATATTTATTAAATTGATTATCTATTAGGATTGCTATTTTCCGTCGCTTTGTCCGTTAATTAAAGCTCAAATAACTTGGAAGCGTCTCTCGTCGAGTTTCTCGGCCATGGCCAGTTCGATGCGTTCCGCCTCGGCATCGTCGGCGTGCAGCGCGGGAGGAAAGAGGCGCGCCGCGGCCAGCATCGCCGGCTCCGTGGTGCTGGTCGTGCGCAAGCGCCGATGGCGGCGTCGCTGCAAATGTTCACGGGTTATAAAAAAAAGCGTCGATTGGATCCTAACAGCGAGTGAGAACTCACCACAGCCTCGGTCGAGCAGATCGCTGCGACCAATAACGTCAACAAGAGAAGACTGCCTTTCATTGCGATCCCTGAAATTTAGGAAAGAATATATAATGTATTGGTAAAAAAGATAGCGTGGTTTTCGTCAAACCGTAAACCGCGAGATTGCGCGCGCAACTGGATGCTTGTGCAAAAGCACTAATTAATTCGGGAACTACGGGGGCGTTTATTTTTGTTGAAAGTACTTTTAAAAAAAGTACCGTCATATATTAATGAAATTCCAAATTAGCTCGACTAAGTACGTATGACATAACAACAAACCATTGAAAATATCTTTTTATCTGTTTAGTTTTCAATTACTTACGCAATAGTTTTGTATTCGCGCTGCCACCAATTATAATTTTTGAAGTTCGTTACAACATTTCAACAATATTTACATGTTTTGGTACTACTTGTTATCTGATAGGGAAAGACTGAAAATCAGCGCTCGATTGAAGCAAGCCTTGCTGAGCACATGCTGAGTCTTGATGCCTTTTAGCACAAAGTAAAAATTTTTCATTTTTGTATTCTTTTAACTGTAAGGTTTCTTTTTTTATTAGTTATTTTATTGCCTATCATCGCGTTAAGCGCGACATGTCTCGGGTTCAGAATAAAAATACGACCTTTTAATCTTGGCTCAATATTATCTGAAGTCGGCTCAGCTAAAGCCAAGCTAGCCAAACACGATTCGTTCATTCACAGAGGCTTTCGCCGAAACGTGATTAAAATGAGATTAAGGATAGACATATACGTGATTTCCCTCCTCACCGGGTGAGCTTCCGTCCAGCTCTTCTAGCTTCCACCCGCATTGCGGCGGTCCAAGCCGAGGCCGATGCCCCTCTCGGGGCACCCTTGGTCTAGCCGCAAAAGCAGCGTATCGCGCTCGCCGTGTTCGCGCTCCTTAGGAACACAATACGTAAGAGTCCAATCAAAAAAAAAAAAAAGTGATTTCCCTCGTGCCAAGACGATCTTGGATACCCACAAAACAGCGATCACCGAAGACGGGGCGTCGGACCGGTCCTGCAAGTTCAGTGTCCGTGGGTTTGCCGGCGAGTGACCTCAAACTATCACATTTCCGACGAGATGCGTAATGTGGCCACGTTACACTATATTTTCTGCAAATTTGGCTAAAAACATGTTTTTTCATCGGGAAAAGTAAGAGGACGCTAGTCTAACCCACTAAGAAGCTTTAAAATAATTGATACCCAATCTCGTATAAGTGGACCACCGGGACCTGTCGTGTAATATATCGAGTCACGAACTTCCCATATTCGTATCAAAACAATGTGTCGCAATACAATTGCACTCCTAAACTGCTGACTCTTGCGCCGCTCCTCATCGTATGCAAGATGTAACTCACTAGCTACGATGTCGTAAGTACGCGAGCTGCGATAAAGACAATTGCGTCTAACGAATGTGTATCATTTGTTTCTATTAACCTAAATAAATGGTGGTCCACTTCCCTCGTGGAGCGATTTCGGCGAAGAACAAGTAATCGCGTTCCACTAAATACACGCTCTACTATTAATTAATGTATTACCCCTAGTCATAGCGTTAATCTAACAAACAATTGTAATGAAATAAATAAACACGTAATTATTAAGTAACACCTTTTCTTTATTGTTATACAGTGTAAACTCCATGTAACGTCACTCTATTTAACGACAAACTCTCTTAAGCGCCAAAATAATTGGGTTTTGGTGGGTTTTGCTTCTTTTCCACAAATTTTTCCCCCCCCCCCCCCACCCCCACCTCCCAAAACCCCCAAAAACCCCCCCCCCTTCCTTTTTTTTTTTTTTTTTTTTTTTTTATATATATATATATATATTTTATAGAGCGGAAGATTGTTTGTCCGGTAGACGTTGAACGAGTTAGTCTACAAACTCAAAGACTATAGTTGTATTCTGTGAAATATTGTCTCGAAAGAAGCGTTCTAACCGTTCGAGCGTAATAACGGACTTTATCTTGATAGAATATGCAGACGCAGGCGCACATCTGGCGGATAGTTCTGGGCGGTACATTCCGCATAACTCACCCGAGTCCGCATAAGTACAAGACAACAACCTTGTCTAATCACGTTTTTTATTCTCGGAGAAATACATACAAAAAGATAGAATAAACATAATTTAAACCAACAAAACCTGGATATTGTTCATAAAAGGACAAAGAAAGCGTAGAGCAGGGTGGCAGAACTAGTTTAAGAATTCGCCGATGAACTCCCCCATTTTGGGATGTGTGTCACGGGGGCTCGTAAATCCCAACTTTACGATTTCTCCTAATGCAGCATCCCGAATCGTACCACCGAATACATTACATTATTCATAGAATAGACGTAGTACCTACACAATAACCACGGCGAGCCAGTTAATTCATTGTAGATAAGTTAACTAATATATTTCGCCTTTCGAAACCGTTAAAAGGGTTTTAATAAAATGTCCTACCTCCTTAATTTTTTTTATTTATATTCATTACGACAAAATTATTAATCGTGCAAAACGAAGGCAGTTCGCACGAACGGAAGCAAAGTTATCTGGTGTCCGCCGATAGCGATGACCCCGCAGCATGATAAAAAATAAAACAATATTTTTCTGTGTCAACTGACGGATAAAATAAGTGTGTTAACTACGACCACTATTAGGTATGGAACGCCGGTTTCAGATCGGCGCATGACGCGATCGGTGCTTTACACTGTGAGCATTTTCAGAGGGACACGAAGATTAAGAGAAATACTTTTTATCAATTTGCTCGTTTTATCGAGTGAAATGCAAACTTTAATTAAAAACGCGACAAAAATACAGGGCGTGGACTAGTCAAAACAGCGCAAGTACCACCCGAATGCCGATGCCTATTTAATTAATAAATATTGTCGCCTGCTCGGAGGAAATTGTGACTAATGTGTTTTATAAATATTGTGTATGAGGTACACGTATTTACGACATAAACCAATACTTATATTCATAGTTTTGAAGATGAAAAATAACATTCAGAATATGTTGTAGCTTAACTGTTTCAAACACGGTTCATCTTCTGTTAACGACATCCGTGTCTACAGAAGATACGATGTACCTACCCGGAAACTCAAAAAGGAGAAAAAGTGAATACCCAAAAAGAAGTTTACTCTATAATACATAATTAAAAAACTCGTAGATAAATTATTAAACCAAAGATTACTCAAATGTAATGTTAATCAATAAATTATAACTTACCGTAGATGATGTCTCAGAAGCCACTCGTCTGCGCGAGCGCACACCACCGACTGCCTGAAGTCCCAACTTTGTATGTCTACGGTTGATAGTATGAACCGAGATTACTTTTCCTATGGGAACGAGCGTTTATCTGTGACTGAAACCTAATTTTATATTGCGTAGTCTGTCTGCACACACTTGTAGCGACTTTAATTAAAACTTCTATCAAGGCAAAAGAGATAGAGAAAAGGTATTTATTACAGACTTAAGATTACATAAATATTAAAAAATATTTAAGAAGAGCCCGCAACTGCCGAGGGTTTCGATATGGTTAATATGTTTTATAATAATGGTCCTCTATAAAAAGATGACTTTCAGAGGACAATTACGAAAGTTTTCGAGGTAAACGTAGGTCAGTAAATAAAACACACAATTTGTTAAAAAAAGTACATCTCTATTTAAGAGGACAGCTCATTGCAGTCGGACGCCCGACCGGACCCCGGGAGTATTACAACCAATACATCGGAATATGGTCGCTATCGTTTTGGGTACGGCCCGGGGAGAGGGTAGAGTCAATCGGACAGTACGCGAAGAGCACTGGGACCGTAGCTAGCGGACTATTAGGCGGGCGTTGAGTGAACGGGGATGGCCCGCGACGTGCCCGGCTATTTAAAATAAATAAGTACATATAACTTTTGCGAGACGTTAGCTTTCCGCATTGAGCTCCCAGAGTCGCGTCATGTTATAATTTATATTTCATTAAATTTATTCTATCGTCGGTCGGAATACGAAGCCGAACGTGAAAAAAGTCACTAGTTAAATGTGGGATGGAGTCGCCGGTCAGCGCTCGTCGCGACTCTAGGAGATCTTGTCTAAGGCTGAGTCGGCGTCGAAGGGGAGGCTCGACGGAGACTTCGGACCGACGTCATATCGGCTAAAACTATAACGTACATTATCGATTATTTTAAAGCATTATAAAGTAATTTATAATAACTAAATGTTTTCGCAGAAAATTCGGACCGCAGGGCACCGGTAAGCGTAACGTCGGTTAAGAGTCAAACGGACGAACGAAACGAAAGTCGGACACCGAAGCCGAGTCCGTCCGGCCCGCCGGGTGGCCTCGTCCGGACTTCCATTCGGTTTGAGCTGCATTCGGAGCGCGGGCTCGCGCGACTTAAGCGAACGGAGTAGAATCTCGGAACGGACCCGCGGTTCGCTCGACGGCCTGGCCCGCTCTCGTTTCAGTCCTGTCGTGAGTTAAACGAGGCCGCAAACACATAATTATCTTTAGAATTTACATAAAAACAACTCGCCGAGTGCGGAAACGAATCGTATAAAAAGTATAAAAATACGTAAAAGTACTTACAGAGAACAAGACGTCACACATTTTGCTGACAATGAAAGACAACGACACGTGCGGCGCCGTCGGACGGACGCGCCCACCCCGAGGCGAGGGTGCCTACGACTCGAACGCGCGTTTAAGGCGAGGCGGAGCAGAGGGAGCGGGGCGGCCGTCGCCCTTAGGAATCATTTGAACGGTGTAACGAAACGTCGCAGCCTTATTTATGGTAGTAAAGTAAAAATCCGCCCTTCGCGTCCCTCGTCCGCGATTCGATGCTTACAGATAATAATTACAAAATGAAAGGGACGCGAGAGGGGCGGCGCGGGGCCTAGCGACGGTAGGGCTGCCGCTGGAAGGTGCGGTGCGAGGATAGCGGGCGGCGGCGGGGCTGGTCGCGGCCGCGGGTCTTCTTTTCCTCGACGTTGAGTTTGACGCGCTCGATGCCGTCGCCGCCCTCGGGCGGGTAGAAGAGCGGCGCCGCGGCGAGACACTCGGCCGCCGCCTGCGCCGTCTCGTACGTGATGAAGCCGTAGTTGGGGTGGCGGGGCGCGCCGGGCGCCGCGGGCTTCCCGTGCACGCGCAGCTCGGCCACGGGCCCGAAGCGGGCGAACAGCGCCCGCAGCTCTTCCTCGGTGGCCGAGTGCGGCAGGTTTCCCAGGAACAGCTGCTGCGAGTCCGAGTAGCGCCGCGCCTCGCGTCCCTCGCGCGTCTCTCGCCCGTCGCGAACCTCTCGCTCGCGGCTGTCGCGCGACTCCGCGCCGACTCCTGCGCGAGAGATAAACGAGCTTCAAATATAAATGCGGCATCGTCGATCCGGTGGTAGTAGTGCGTGGCCGGCCACCGACCAGTCGCTACTACACCGGGTGCGATACCACTTGAAGAAAATACCTGTGGGTGGATGCGAGCGTGGGGGCCTAGTGCGCTGCTCTTGCGGCTGCTGGTTGGAGGGCACGTGGTGGTGGGCGAGTGGAGGGGCGGCGGGCGCAGGGGCGCCGGCCGGGGGTGACGTGCGCGTGCCGCTGCCCGACTTCAAGAGATTCGCGTAAGTCTTCGGCTCCGGAGCGGCGTGGGACACTGTAGAGTAGGTGAAAGGCGAATTAGTATCTTGGAAACGAAAATTTGCTGAAGCAGAAGATAATATGGATTACAACTAAACCTCATTTATCGACTGGCCCAAAGAGAAATTGCCATTAAAATTGAATAAAATGAGTACCGGGTGGCGGCGGCGAAGGTTCCCTCTCGGGCTCGGGCTCAGGCTGCGGCTGAGGCTCCGCGGCCGCTTCAACACTCTCCTCCGGAGCTTGAGGCCCGCCGGACACCGTCGCGCCTGCAATAGTTGCGTCACGTACGTCAAAAGCCTTACCATTATAGAATAAACATCTTAATCTTTATAATGAATTACAAGCACAGCTTTAAAAAGGTCAGGTCTTCTCTTAAACATTTTGGTTCTCGCTGGATACCTTGCAGAGCGGACACGAGATGCCTCGTCGCGTCCTCGTGCTGCGGGTGTCCATTGAGGTGCCCGACGGGGGCTTGCGCAGGCGCGGGGGCGGGCACCGCCTGCGGCATGGGCTGCGCGTGCGGGGGCGACAACAGAGGCGCGTGCGGTGGCTGGGGCGGCGCCGGGAACGGGGCCGGGGGGAAAGCACCCGGACCCGGGAAGTACCCGCCCGAGTTTACCTCCTCATCTTCTCCTTCCGATCTCCCGCTACCCTCGCCCTCCTCGTCCGAGAACACTATGTCCTGAAGTACAAGATAATTTATTTCAATGATTATTTAAAACACAGTGCGCGTGAAGCGGCTTCGTAGATTCTTTTGTAAATATTAGAGGTACCTGGTAGCGGAAGATGTCGTTGTGGACGTAGTACTTCTTGGGTGACTGCGCGGCCAACACGAAGGTCTGCGTGAAGCGGCGCATCGGGGCACCACCGTTCGACAGCTCGCCCGTCACCTGCACCACCACGCCGTTGCCGAGGGTCGCTTGCGCGTCCACCTAGAGGTTCACTCTACTGTTACTATTTTATTACTTTTGGCGAGCACCGTGGCGATTTGTGTCGTACAAAATGGACAAACATATCGCATGATTAACTTCGACTTAGTCATAAACGGGGGAAATCTGACCTGACTAATCTTGGCGTGACAGTCTCGGAAGTTGAGCTGCTGAATGCGGTTGTGGATCTGCTTCTGGCCCACAACAGGCAGCGTCTCTCGGTTGGGTGCGTCCAGACCGCCATGGACGAACGACGAGTAATTGTTGTAGAACCTGCCGTAAACCGACAATTGGGAACCACCTTCAGTAACTCCATTTTAAAGCTTGTACATTTTGATTGGTCCCTTGGAGTGGCTCTAAGTCCCGAGTAATACATGTCCTCTCAATATATTATAGAATAGAAATATTCGGTCGAGCACGGTGTCATTCAAGCGAATGACACCATACATCATATAAATTTAAAATCGATTTTAGCTTGATAGAAATGTACCACACGGGCGGGACTCGAAACGGCATCCACAGCGTTCCGTCCTACACATCGTCGAGTTTTTTCAACCTATTACGCAGCGAATAGATATACCCCTCGCGCATAACATATTTTTCGCAATCTAAAATTGATTTTAATTTAATATAGTGCCATCCCGTTTAAAAACATGTGAAAATTCCAGAGTTTTCCATCGTCTAACATCGATGAAGTAATGAATTTTGCGTGCTCACCTGTGCAAGTGGGCCGGCGCCTTATTGAGCAAGGTGTAGTACTGACGAACGAACTCGCGGCCAACGCTCTGCGGGGACGGGGATGCCTCCATTACCATTGCTCTTGATCACTTTGCGCCGAGACACCCCTGCGCTGCAACTCTGCGCTCTGCACTTCACTATAATTAATCAAACATTTGCTCTTACATTGACACAAAAATAAAATTGTATTTGTGAAACACTCTAAAATCATCAGTCACACAACCTCTCTCATATCTTGAGGCTGTCATGAGGTATTTCTTTTTATTTTGATATAACTCAGTTTACAAAGAAGGATGAGACAATGATTGTTTTGTACCTAACTTTTCAAATTAGTAATTTCATTAAAAAGCAATTGATTGTCTTTAAGAAATAATATTAATAATAATATATTGGATTTAAATAGAACTATGTTAGTCATGAGTGTCGTCTTATCATAATGTAATTTTGATACGTATAGCAATCAGCTACTAAATTTAAACAGTCACTATTGTGACAAAATGGTGTTTTAGCTGATCAATGAATATCATGAGTTATTTAAATGTGTACTAAACTATAGACAGTATTGAATATCATGAGTTTTATTAATAGCACTTTTGTACACTTTCAGTTACATTACTAAAAGCTTTGTAGGGATCCTTAATCTTTTGAAGAAATAAACATGTTTAAGTTTATATATCTATATATGACAAATGTACTACTTAACAATATAGAATGTATTAAAAACTTCTTATTGCCCTTTTTCACATTTTTTACAGTATACTTTATAACTACTTGAATGCATAGTACATGTACAATAAATGGCAATTGGTACCATTCTCACCTGTACTGATATGGCCTTGTCAGATTAACAGAAGTTTCAGCCTGGCTTGGATATAGTAGAAAAACTATGTAGTTTATGACATAAATTATACTATCATTTATATTTAAATAATAAAATTGAAGAGTAATAAAACAATACCAAACATACTTGAGTGTTCCAGACCAAGTTAGAGATATATTTCCAAGAAGGTCCAGTTTCACATGATGATTATGTTAAATTTTTTCAGTACAGTAATAAAATCATTCAAAACAATAAGAAATAGAAGAACTTTGTTTAAAAGCACAATAACTTACTAGCTTAGGTAGTAGAAAAGGTATGTAAAAATAAACAAATTTCTTTTGTGTGATAAAAACATAATAAACAAATCAATTACAATATACAAACAGGTCAGCAAATTTGTGTAGGTTTAATGATGTCGCGCATGTACTTTTTCTATCTTACATTTCACGATTATTCGTATACATTCGGAAATGTCGCATCTCCTAACGTCAAAGCATGCATGGCGACCCTTAAACGAACTATCCTTACATCTCGATTTGTAGCATAAGACCGGATTTGTTGAGATAATTGCATTGAAAACAACAGACACGACACATTTCTGCATTATAACTATTTATTATTACAAAATATTAGCATTATGCTGAGCAGAACAAAAGAGAAGAAGAGCCTTTTAACCTATAGAAAAGGATCATTCTGCCGACAGACATATTTAAAAATTTCATATCATTATTCTAATAAATACGAAATGTTTATCTTACCTCAGTAAATTATACGCATCAAAGATATATAATCTGCAACAAATGGACGAAAACCGCAAAATTTTTACGAAAAGTAAGCACAGAAACAGAAAAAGAGCCTACCTCACCGTTCGGTGTCAAATTTAATGTTGCCAGTTGCCACTTAACATTTTATTTGTTATATAGATAGCAAACGTTGTACAGATTACAAATTTACTTATTGACATTATGACTAATTTTTTAATTCACAGCTTTATTTCAAAACACTTTTAAGATATTATAAATTTAGTGAATATCAAAAAAATCTAAATTATGATCATCGGTGTAAATTAAAGTGTAAAATATTAATATTATTATTAATAATGTTTCTGAACAAAAATATTGATATTATTGTTTTACAAGTTACCTGTTCATTGTGTTGGTATGTTTTAGTAATAACAATAATAAACCGAATTCAATTTGTAATCAAAATAGGTTAGACTATTAAGTTCACGTTTCTGCGGAATCTTTCATGGGGGCAGTCAAAATTATTAAATCAGATTCAGATTATTGAAAGTTGTAAAAATCAAAACAAATTTAACAATATATATCAATTTATCGTAAAATACAAAATATGAAATCTTACTTCATAATTATATAGAAATAAAATTAGATGTTTCTAGACGTAACATCGCATTAAAACGGCGGCAAATGTTTCGTTATGTTGGCACTAGTATTGATTTTATTCCTTCCTTCCTATCCCTTTTACACTATAGCAATTTGCAATATACTATTCTTGTTGTTAGAAAATGATGCCATTGACCCTTGGGCCGGTCTGTTTCTGATTGGTTCGTATAATAGAAGGGATGAAAATAAAGCTTGTTTCCTGCAGTGTGTCAACATTGCGGCAAAATTCGCGCCTACTCATCGTGAATTTCTTGCGTCACACCATCTTTCTTCTGCGTTTGGCATTCGTAACTGAAGGTCGTGTGTTGGCCTTAGTTTTAGTTTATTGTTAATTTAAGTCCTATTCATAAGTCATGGCTAATAACGATAACTTTGCACAAGACGTTACTGAAAATCAAGTAAATGGAAACGCAGAAAATGGTGGAGGTGATGGTGGGTTAGAACAAAACAGTGCCGATGCCCCAGGACGAGATGACGACAGGTATGCATTTTGTAATTATTTTTTACCTAGCTCAATGTTAACTCGTCAGTTGACGTCGTTCAGTGTATATTATACGGTGTAATTAGTTATTCTTTTGTTTAAACTTATTTTTGCAGTATTTAATTCGAACGCCGCTATGGCGGCGGCGGTCCGGCATTTACGATATCGGCTTTTCTATCCTCTATAATCCGTAAGATCTGTTCTAAATTAGCAACTTTTACATTTGCAGCGTTTCGTTCGCGAGTTAAATTATTCGTTCGGCTCAATAGTTTCCATTTCAGATAAACGTCAGGTTAAGTTTATCAAAATCAGTATGAGGGTGCGCGTTGTAAAATGGCGGCTCGCGCGTCACCTCTCCACCGGCAAGTCCCGTTATCGATTTCGTTTCGTATGGTCAAAGCGCTCGTGTGGCCGTAGCTAAGTAGGTAGTGCCTCGTAGGTGAGTCGGAGCTACTAACGGCCTGTCTCTCTGCAGGTGTGAGCCTGCGCCGCCGCAGCTGCTGCCGCCGGAGGACGCCATGGTATATATCCGCTGGGCTCACACTAAAGTAAACTCGCCCAAATTGACTAGATTGTCTCGGCCACTTAACTTTGGGCCCTCACTCTTGCCAATTTCAATTTTTGCGATAACTGTAACATCCTGTACTCCTTACTCTCGTTGTGTCAATGATAAATCTTGCAGATTTTTTATATTTTTGTAACTTACAGGTTTCTCAATTTGCTTTGCTGCAGTGCTTGGAGTTGTTTTTATTTTTGTTGATATACAAAGTAGCTGTAAAGTACTGTAAACAAGTACTGCATAGTTTATAGTAATAATTAAATAGTAATTTATAAGTCCGTTCCACATTTCGGCTCTTTGTCGCACTTGTATTGGCTCATTCTTACATTGTTTTGTCATGTGATTGCAGAAAACTATTCGTGGGTGGACTGAGCTGGGAGACCACAGACAGTGAGTAAACTTTATTCAATATACATGTTGTTTTATAGTAATGGATATGATGAATTATCAGTTCTGCTTCTGATTACATTTGAAGACAATTTTTACCCACTGTTCTGAATATTCTAACTATGAAAATAGTTTGTGTATTCTTGGAACACATACCAATGGCTATGCCCTTTTCAGAGGAATTACGTGATCACTTCAGTGCCTATGGTGAGATCGAGAGTATCAATGTTAAGACTGACCCTAACACTGGCCGATCGCGAGGATTCGCCTTCATTGTTTTCAAGAGTCCAGAGTCTATTGACAAAGTAATGGCTGCAGGAGATCACACAATTAACAACAAAAAGGTGGATCCAAAGAAAGCTAAAGCGAGACATGGAAAAATATTTGTGGGTGGTCTCAGCAGTGAAATCTCAGATGATGAAATCAAAAGCTTCTTTGGCAATTTTGGCACAGTAAGATATACATTTTTATTTGTTCACTTCATTTACCTTATTGAAGTTTAAGTTAAAACAGGATGAAAATACCGGAATTGGTGAGATGAAAACAGTCTTAACATAGTTTTGCAGATAAACCCGGGCCACTGAATCTATATTCGACTCTTTTAAACATGTGATTATGTGATGTGTGAAGTTCCTAAAGTTTGAATTTTGTTTACAGATCATAGAAGTTGAAATGCCATTTGACAAGACAAAGAATCAAAGGAAAGGCTTCTGTTTCATCACATTTGAATCTGAGCAGGTTGTCAATGAACTTCTCAAAACTCCCAAGCAGACTATTGCTGGTAAAGAGGTATGCGTCCTTCATCCTTGCCTATTGCCTATCGATGTTTGAGTTAAAATAAGCGAATGGAAATACTCACATATTTGTCGGTTTTAGGTCGATGTAAAGAGGGCCACCCCGAAACCCGATGGCCCTGGAGGTATGGGTGCTCGCGGAGGTCGCGGCGGCCGAGGGGCGCGCGGTGGCCGCGGGGGTCGCGGGGGCTACGGCGGCCAAGGCGCATGGGGCAACCAAGGATACGGCGGGTACGGGTACGGACAGGGCGGCTACGGCGGCGGGTACGACGGGTATGGCTACGGCTACGACGGCTACGGAGGCTACGGTGGCTACGGCGGATACGATTACTCCGGATACCCGAATTACGGTAAACGCGGCAAGCAACACTAGGCGCGTCCTCACCGCCACATTACCTCGACTGATGTTACCTGATAGTAGATTGTAAATGTAGACGTAAGGCGAGAGGCGTCGAGGAGTCCGTCCTCCTGCGAGCGTAAACGGGAACGTAACGTTAGGTATACCTTAGTGCTTAGAAAATATTTATTTTTCTATCATAGCTACGTATTTACATTGATAGTCTATCGAGATAATGTGCAGTGAAGGGGTGATGTACTCCCACTCTTTGTAATCTAATCTAATGTTATATTCTTGGCTGATTTGCATTTGTTTAAATTCCATTTGGCTAGTGTCTCCAGTGAGAGCGATCACTCTTTATCATTGTTTCACTAGGTTATGTTCTGTACATATATGTTACCGCCTTATCTTTTTAAGTGTTATTGTAATACCACTTTTGACATATGTAGCATCGTCGCCCGAGTTGTGTATTTATTTTGGTATCTTTTTGTTTTACCTTTTACTTTAATACTCTTGCCACATGCTACATCTGGGTAATTGGGGTAATATATGGAGAGACATTGTGAAAGTGATAAAGATATGATGAAGCTTTGAATAAAGCACTGTTACCAAAAACCAATGTGTTTCCATATATGCCCCACCCCCTCACCTGCACCTGCCCTCTACTCTATCCTCTCCCCTTCCCACCACACATGTCTGCATGCCATGGACTTGGATCTTCATTCTTCAAACGCAGGTGTTCGCTTACTAACCTACATCGATAGGTACATACTAACGCTCAAATCATTTCTAATGTGGAAGGAAAATGACGAGTTCAGAGACCGTTACTCGAACGTAATATGTTCCCTCCGAACAAGATCGAAGCGCGTAGGTCTGAATGGAGTAAAGCGCGACTCGCTATTAATAGCTTTGTGTTGCGGGCAGACTACGGCGGATACGGAGGGTACGAGGGTGGCTACGGCGCGCGCGCGGCTCCTCGCGGTAAAGGTACTGCCGACCTCTGCTCTTGTTCCACTTCATCGCCTCCATGTCACCCGCTTCGGTGCCGCCACGCCCTCGGGCCCGGTGGCACCGAAGCGCGACCGGTTTGGTTATCGCAGCACGCGTCTGTCTTCAGCCCGTATCAGTTCTCGAAGCGATAATCAATCTGCTGTCTTCCACTCACCGTAGCCGTAGAATCCGCTTCTTCTAACTATTGACATTAGCTCTCGAAAACTTTATTTGGCGCCTGACTTTGCACGTTGGGAATACAAGTGAGACTTGTTCCAAAATTGACCCTGCAGATTCCTAACTAGTATTGCATTTAGAACACGTATGTTAGTTCGTCGATAAGCCGAGATACACCGGCAGCCACGTCCCAGACCACAGAAGACGAGCGGTGTATGTCCGTTTATTGCAACTATCGACTTGCATGATATACTTATTTCGTCGATCCACCGACCACTTGGAATTTGGAATAAACTGCGCACCGTTTACTGAAACCTACTAATGTTTGCCTTCTCGTACAAATTCACGTTTTCATAGTTAGATCTATTTCCCTCGGTATGTGCCCGACGAGCGTATTTCACGAAGGACGCGACCTGAGGCTGTATACAGCTTTATTACAAAACCAGCTAAGGTCGGGGACCATCGCGAATAAGTGTCGTCGTTGAGATTTGACTTATAACAATAGGGTCGAATTCGGCTGCGGGCGGCGGTTACCAAGGAGGCAAACAGCGCGGCGGAGGCGGAGGCCGGGCTAACCAGAGGCACCAGCCCTACTAGACGTACGCGTACCTGTCGATCAGAAACTCATCACTCCATTAAGGTTGGTTCTCGCTTGGAATCCTGTGCTCTTGCTGTTGTTTTATCGTGTCGTGCGTGACGTCCGCCTTCTCTGTTGCAGGTTAAGTCCGGCGGAGATGAGCGCGACCCGCGCGAGTTCGCGGGGCAGCCTCATTTTATTCCATATTGTAATTTAAGAAAATTGAATAGGAAGGTTTAAATCCAAAAATGCGTCGCGAAGACGTGACCGCATCGGGTCTCCTAAATTTTAATATAATATAGAGTGGATTAATGGATTACTTGAGTATTATTGAAATAGATTTAAAACTTTGAGCTGATTGTTATGAGTAATTACAGTTTTTTACTATAACGTAACCGGCGTCGAGTCGTCGTTTCGCTTTATCTTAGCGATCAAAAATAAATCTCGCGCTAGGTAATTATTTTATTTTAAATATTCTGACATTTATTTTTAATTGGATATTTTGAAGCGGTTACGTTGTTGTAACAGTGTTTGATAATAATTGTACAGAAGATTAGTTCCGGTTCTGATCCCTTCGAAGCGGAGCGCCCCTAATCCCCCATTCCCGACCCTCACCGTCGCCCCCCCCACTGGAACTTTAAGATCTCGAAGTTGTCAGGTTTTGTATGCTGGAGTATCGATCAAAATCTTGTATTTTATATTAAATAATATTTCTTCCAAGTCGTAGAGAATTAATTAAGTGTAAGTTCATCTGAACAAATCCTGCAGATAAATATACGAACTGTATATTATGTCTAATTGTAAATAAAAGATTGACTTTTATGCGTTTGTCATTATTTCTTAAGAGGGGATCTTCATGCGACTAAATAAATCAAAATTGTATACAACATTTTATTATTTTAACTCTAATTTCATCTTTAACACGGCTGGGAAGAAGAAGCGAAGAGAACATCCAATGCACTGCACCAAGCTCTGTAGTTCACCTGAAATATAATTAAACATTAGGTATAATAGGGCGGACGTAACTTGGCAAGTCTGATCTTAGCGCGAAACGCCGCGCAGAAATGTTCTTTAGGATGTTAACGGTGTTAAGAGCGAGGGGCGCGGGACGAAGATCTAGGCTAGTGATTGACTCAATGTCAACACAATCGACCGCTTATTCTATATAATTTTGTAATAATTTTTTATCGATTTATGGATGATAGATAAATCGTATGAGATATTGTACTAAATTGATTAATGAACGCAGTGAAAGGTGTTGTTAATAAACAATACCATGATTACCTTTAAAGGAAATAAAATATTAAACGTTTTTTTCGTTAATAAACAATACCATGATTACCTTTAAAGGAAAATAAAATCATTAAACGTTTTTTTCATTATTGAACTACCTGATTTAGGTAAATATGAGTTATTATTTATATAATTACTACTAGCGGAGCCGGCAAACGTCGTTTTACCATATATATAATTTTACTAAAATGGCAATTAAAAAATTAGGGTTGATTCGTAGAAGGGTGGAAATTGATGTTTGTATGTATTTTTGTATGTTGTATCTTAAAAGAATAGAATAGAACAATTTCGTCAAGAAATTTAACGGTAAACAACCCTTATCACTTAGGGGGATCAAAAATAGATGTCCTATTCTCAGACCTACTGAATATACATATGAAATTTGGTGAAAATCGGTAAAGCCGTTTCGGAGGAGTACGGTAACTAATACTGTGACAGGAGAATTTTATATATTAGATTTATACCTCCTTAAGGGCTTTTATACAGATGTATTTCTACGATCGAATCTTCTCAATTTTAATAGGAATCTATTTAAACATATGTCTGAGTATAGTAGAGTATGGACATTTCTATTTGGTTATTTCGTAAAGCTTCGTACATGTTCGGTTCGGTGTGTCTCGGTCACTCCTTGGCGTTTATTTCGTTATCTCTGTCTTGAGCGCAGTCCGTTAGAGAAGTGATTGTTTATTGATAAATTAATTACTACTATTTCTCTTTTGTTATATTTTCCTCTTGTCTCAGTATTTTAGTGAAAGTTCGTAGCCCTCATTCTCGTTGAATCAATTATTGGTATGTTACTTTTGCTTGCTATATATAAAATCTTTAATTTATCCCAGTAACGGAAATAAATGGCAGTATTAGTTTTCTTTACGAATGTACATGCGCCAAAGTTCGTCTAACCTATGTTCAGACTGGCCAAGTTATGTCGGCCGTATTATAGGTCACTTTTGTCGGTAAGAAAAAAAATTTGACATGTTTTCGTTAACCCGATTGTACCAAGCTCTAATGGTACCCTTTTTTTTTTTTTTTGATTGGATTCTTACGTATTGTGTGCGTTTTGGGCGAGCGCGACAGCGCTCGCCGTGTTTGCGGCTAGACCAAGGGTGCCCCGAGGGGGGCATCGGCCTCGGCTTGGACCGCCGCAATGCGGGTGGGAGCTAGAAGAGCTGGACGGAAGCTCACCCGGGTGAGCGGTACGCGAAGCGAATGACCTCGCCTACGCCGGCGTATTGCGGGCGATCGGCACCGGTGTCGGCCGATCGCATAGCAATAAGTAAGTCGACGGCTTTGGTTAAGTCGTCATCGGGGTCGGTGAGAACGTTACGCGGCCTTCTCCAGCGTGTATTAATGGGAACGGTGTAGTTGGCGGCCCGGGCCACCAGTGGGTTCGGATGCGTCGCGGCTTTTTTAAAGAAACGTTCGGACGTTTCCTTGAAGTACCGACTAAGGGTCGGTAATTCGAGATCGGCGTGAAGATTTGCATTCCGTACGCACCAGATGGCTCCAGTGGCGGTTCGAGTGAACCGATTCTGAAGCACCTGGAGCCTGTGCAATGTACTAGGGGCGGCGTGAGCGAACGCGACGCTGGAGTAGGTAAGGATCGGACGAATACAAGTTTTGTAAAGCATAACTTTATGTCTGAGGGACAGTTTGCTACGCGCGCAGATCATGGGATAAAGCCTACTCATGACGTAGCAGGCTTTACGACAGACTCGATTAACATGTTCAGTAGGTACCCAACGAAGAGTTTTTACTATGTAGTCACGTAATGCTTTTGTTTGCAGCTAATGTGACGACGAAATCTATTATTGTTTACCATTTTTGCCAGTCACGAAAAATTCAGATGTCGGCCACGGTCACTCAGGAACAGCGCCATCTCTGTTAATTTACGCAAATTACGCAACTAGTTGATTTTATTGGCTTATTCGACTTGCCTTTGAGTTATAATCATCGGCGGCAAAAAGCAAATATTTCTATTAGTGAATACTAAATAGGCATCGATGATTATTCAAAAAACTTTCACGACACGGGAGCAATTGTATCAATAAAGTTAACAGCTGTCCTGAAAATTAATGACTGATGTTGAATGCTGAATTTATAATTTTTGTGGTTTTTCTTAATTCTCTACGCATAATAACATCCCGTTGCGACCCCCATTGGTGAAGAAACAGTGAGAAATGTGTTCAGGGAAAATTCTTCACCTTTGAGGGTTTCCGACGCGTGCGTTGCAATAACGGTTCCAAGATACCCAACAAACGCGTATGAAAATGATTCCTCTTTTATTAATCTAAAAAAAATATCTGCGACAGCATATGTCATTCTTTTAAGATGAACTTGCAAGATCAACAAAACGCGACCGACCTCGTGTGTAACACTCAAGAGCTATGATTTGTAAGATTAGAAGGTTTGTAAAAACAAATGTTGATGCCAAAATAATTAACTACGCGGACGAAGTCGCTGGCATAGCTAATTATTATTCGGCTTCTTAAACCATTAAAAGTGTTTATTTTAATTTAGCGTAAACTATAGACCATATTATTTTTACCATACCCTCGCCATTCTTACCGTTAGAACCGCCGCTTACTACATTTATATAATTGCTCCCTTTTCATGAAGGAACATTGAATTTCACGAGAGGTACATAGAAGTACACGTAAGGTACTTTGTTTCGCATACATCGTAATTATCGGAAAACACGCGTTTGTCGTTACCTCGTCGCCGCATCCACGTCGATAGCCGAAACACTTGTAGAGAACGTCTCGCTCGCGAGCTGACACCAGCTGTAGCAGATTTCTCTGGCACAGCGCACGCTCCATCGACACGCGCGGAATCGTGCCGCATCGCTCCTTGTCCATATCCTGCGCATAGCCACAATCCACTCGGCAACGGAGTTACCTCCACATTACAGTAGTTAACAAATGGGTGAAATGAAGTAACGTTCATACCTTAAACACCTCCAATATGTTAGACAGTTGGTCTGGGAATTTAGCGAGCTTAGCTAGGGCATTCGCGGCGATGTTCCGCTCCTCGAAGTTGAGGAAGTTGAGAGGGGAGTCGATGGTGGGCACGTGGGACACCGGTTCGAGCGACGGGGCTCGCTCCAGGCCACCCTGCGTCAGCGCCTCGCCCACCACGCTGCAGAACCGATCGTACTCCACGAATCGACGCCGCCCGGGAGCGCAGAAACTGTCGCAAACCACTCATTATATACTGTCTATAGTTTACGCGCGTAGTACAAATTTAGACTAAACACATTAACGGTTTAAAACGCGATATATTAGTTAAACTTATTTGAAAATGATTTTTAACTTCGGCCCCAACCTAACTTTTCAAATAAGTTTAACTAATATATCGCGTTTTAAACCGTTAAAGTTATTTATTTAAACACTCATTATATTCTCATAAAACCAGGAAAGTTTTTAAACTATACAGGAAGAAAGGCTAACACTTCAATTAGTGTGTCCATCTCCCTGGACGAGAGCGAAAGGCCCGCGGCCCCGAGACCCCGGTAGAAGTCGGCGCGAGGGATCACTAGTTCGCGCCGGGGGTCGAACTGGCAGAGAAAGTCGCGAGGGCGGAGTCCTTCTCGCACCATCTGCGGCCACCGTCGGATGATCAACATTAATGTACGCAAATTAAAAAGAGTGTTTTTTATAAATATTGTTTGTATAATTTAATATATATACGCTTACTTTCCCCTTGATCTTAGCTAATATTTGTACAATGTCAGTTTCGAGAGGGTCGACTGTGCTTCGGTGTGCGCGCCGCGGCGCAAGCGCTGGTCCGGCGATCGTAGCGCTTTCCGTGGGTCGCTCTTCCAACTGTAAGGTACGTAAAAGTATTTCAGGTAATTAAAGTCTATGAACTTTTAGTAATATAGGATGCTGCTGCTTTTAATTTTAAAGTAAAATTACAATCGTTCGTTTAGCAGTGTGTGGGAAGTTGGAGTTTTGTGGGGTTCGGGGACTTGTTTTCTCGTAGTATAATAAATGGTAGTACGGCAAAGTCGTTATTACCTCATCGAGGAGAGCCACGTAATGAAATCCGCAATCGTCCGAGTACCTCGTCTCCAGGGCGCGGATCTGCTGCGGGGTGGGCAGAACGCCCAGACGAGCCAGGACGCGCCGCACTTGCGCTCTCGACACATGGCCGTTGTTGTGTCTGTAAACAAGTTTACTAGATTTTTGGTATCTAAGCATTTGGTAAGAGAAGAGAAATGGAGTACAAACTTTTAAATGAAGTGTGTCATCTAACGTCGGCGCCATCTGACTTGAAACTACATAGTCACGTCTACTCACTCATCGTGTTCTCCGAACGCCGGGCGGAGGTCGATGGAGCGTTCTTTGCAGGCGGCACGCACTCGCATCAGGGCCGCCTGCGCGAGGTCCAGCTCCGACGAGGACGGCCCACCTCGTTCTGCCGCCGATCCCACGGGTGAGAGCTCTCCCACGGCCTCCGCCACGCCACCGGCGGACACCGACGGGTGCTTTTCTAGCTCCTTTGTTGTGAAAACTAAGCGAAAAAATATAATTAGTCAATGATAAATAAAAATAATTAGTCAATCACACAAAAAATATAATTAGAAATCTCAAATTGCAAATGTATCTAATTGCGTCGTCGCCGATTTGGTTACCTTGGTCGCAGTCATCTTCAAAGGTACGCCAGCAAACACGATCAGGCCGGTTGGGATCCAGGTAATGCCGGGTAACGCAGAGCATCTCCAGGTCCGACATGATGGCGCTGAAGCCCATGATGTCTAGCGCCCGACGGAACTGCTGCGGCGATATACGTCCACTGTTCAGCGGATCGTAGTCCTACGTGAAAACCAGGACGCGCTCAACCAGTGGCGAAACTATAGGGTGGCAAGTCGGCAAAATGCCACGGGCCCCCAGCCCGAAGGGGCCCCCGGTCAGAGGAAATCTCAATTGTTGGTTCAGCTTCTTTATATATTGGGGAAGTGGGAGGGCCCATTCGATGAATTTGCCACGGGCCTCGAACGGTATAGTTGCGCCACTGCGCTCAACCTTACAAACTTTATAAATCATAGATCGAATATTTAAACCTATCATTAGGAAGGATAACACGGGCTGAACGCGTGTATTAATGTAAAAAAAAAGTTTTAAGTAAATTTTAAAATGCAATAAATGTAATGTTAATTATTATTATCGCTAAAACAATTGACACTGACCCTGAAGAATTCAGATACCCTAACACGTCTTTGCATGACGAACTCCTGCACCCTGAGCATAAGATCTAGCAGTTGTCGCGAAGGTTTAGGGCATCGCATGGCCGGGTGGAACACTTCAGAGGCACCCAGAGGCGCAGTGGACGCCCCCGCCTCGATCTCTGGTCGGACTATTTTCGGGAGAGTGGTGTCTATGACTGCTGCGGGGTTATTGTAGTCCTGATAATGCATCAATTACCATATTAAATAACATGATTCGTATATTATATATCCAGCTACATATTACATAAATCAAGGTTAAAAAACGATAGTCTTCATTACCGGGCCCAAACCCTGGATGCCCTCCCTTTTGACGGCTTCCACAGCCTTAATGAATTCCACGTAGTCTAGGGTATAGGAGTCTTTGATAAACTTGCGCACGAGCAGGTTAAAGTCATCCGCCGATACCAAGACACCTATGTAATTCAGGATGCGAGCAAAATGTGCGAATGTTATTCTGCCGTCGTTTTTGGCAACCTGGAACCATATGAAGATATCTGTAATGGCGAAACTGTTAAGAACGATATTGAAACGCTTATCGACAAATAGTCGAACCAGCTCGTAGTCTTGGAAGTAGGGCTTCAGAGGTATGTCTCTTTGCGCGATTGTGGCGAGAAGGCAGCACAGCCGCCGCAGCTGCCATTGATCCAACTTGTGGCAGTTGGGTTCCGGTGGGGGGGGACAAGCGTCCAGCAGGCAATCCGCTGACGTCTTGTCGCGGCCCCCTGCGTCTATACCATCACAAATCATTGTAGACTAGTAACAAATAATATATTTATTTACTTTCTTCTTATCTATTATTTAAACTGAACAGAATTTTGGTGCACAATAAAAATAGAACCAAAGAATTAATTTTTTTTGTTTAATTATTATTTGTGTTGACAATTTTAGAGTAAAAAATAGCAGTTTAGAAATATATTTGAAATCGTAAGCTACGGCCTATTGTCGAAGTCACCTTCTCCGTGAATGATCTGGCAAAGCTGATGGTATAGGATTCTGCCATCTTGCGCACGAAAGTAGTCCGCTACTTGGGCGATCTCGTCGTCCGAAAGCCCGATCACAGACCGCAGAGGGCCGGCTAGTATCGACACGAACTTAGACTCTGTATATTCAAAACATACACGTTAGGCAAATACACGAAACCCCCGACTTCCTTCAATTATAAGAGGAAAGACCTGAAATAAGAGAATTCCCTTCGGGATCGAGTGGGCGATAGAAGTCCCACAAGTTCAGACCCACGCGGAACGCCGCCGCGCGGATCTTGTTACACGTCTTCCACACATCAGCGAGTCTTACGATCTGCGTTCAGAATATAATATTATAATGACGTAGCTTCGCAAGATATACCTTCGAATGATCCTCGAAGGGTTTCCGTTACCTTCATTCAAAGCTTAAGTTGTAGGCAGGTTAATATTACCTGTAGTCGGGTGGTTGTCAAATTTTGCCTAAGTAAATTTGTTGCAGAGACGTTTAATTAAAATTATAATCTATACTAATATACAAAGCTATAGAGTTTGTTTGAACGCATTAATCTCAGGAACTACTGGTTCTAATTGAAAAATTATTTTTATGTTGGTTAAAACATTAATCGAGGAAGACACTCAAAAAATATGTATGAAAGAATGATTCCTCTTTAAATGATCTAAAAAAATGTCCCAGACACTATATCTATCTTTTAAGTTTAACTTGTAAGAACAACGGGAACCGAACGAATTTATAAAGATGTAGACGTTTTCAAAAACAAATTGGATGCCCAAAATAACTGTTCTACGCTGACGAAGTCGCGGACATGGCTGCTACAAACAGCAGTTACAAATAAATATAGCAGTTTTACAAAAAAATCTGGAAAATGTCTACTCACTTAAACAACGCGGCCGACAGTAGGAGATTAAATTTAGTTATTTTTCAAGAAACAAAACAAAAAACTAAACATTTGCTTTCTTGGTTATGAAGCCCATCTCTCTCTTAGCCTTGTTAACTGCGCTAAATTTGACAACGACCCAGGCAACGACATTGCGTTTATTAAAATAATCAAATACTTATGAAGAGAAAGTAATGAAAAGGTGACAATTATTTTTTCTGTCTATATGAACACGCGCTCCTTCAATACGAGGGAAGTCTAGAATGAAAGATCAGGCTTTACTTCATTCGACAAATTTAGTGTCCGACGACAAGATAAATGCGGCGTGTTACTAAGATAGTCGACAGATAGAATTCGGGCAAAAGTCCTAATGTTGTCGTTGCGTATACTTACCGTATCGTGCATAATGTACCCCCAATTTTGATGTTTTAGATATCAAAGAGTTTGCATGAAGAATTAAAGTATGCGGCTAATAATTTTGAGAGATTTGGAGCTCGCGTGACTGTTAGTGCGACGCGTCTACAAATGCGACCGTTGACAAGATGTCGCGTTGACGACAAACAAATGTGCGACCTTTGTGGAGTCAAATAAACGGTGCCAGGATGTAAAATTGCTTCCTTGAGTAAAACCTTAGAATTTACTGGTTTTCAACTGATCACCTTTGTTTCTTCTATATTACAACTATTTGATAGAAGAATGTGTACAAGACAGGTAAGAACCAACGTACTAAGTACCGTGTTAGACAGTAAGGACAGTATTAGTCCTAGAACTCCAATAACCCAATAAGTAACCTTGATTCAAATTCAAATGTATTTGTTTTACAATATATAGTTATAGGTATATAACTATTAAATTGTGTTATACAATAATTCAAAAACAACAAATAAGTAAGAAATGGTCGCTGTGCATTCAGGAGCGCTGGCTTTCGGACTTGCCCGGATTCAGTAAAAGGAGAGCAAAGGTTATAAGATAAATCTATACTAATATAGAAAGCCGATGAGTTTGTTTGTTTGAATGCAGTAATCTCAGGAAGTGCTGGTTCGAATTGAAAAATTACTTTTGCTGTTAGAGTTTGTTGTCGGTTAGAACATTTACCGAGGAAGGCTATAGGCTATAACACATCGCGCTGTGACAAATAGAGCGAAGAAAAAGTGGGAAGTGTGAATAAAACGGGGATCACTACTCATCTTTGTGGGTTTCCGACGCCTGCGCTGCGAAAGTGGTTCAAGATACCTCATTAAATGATATAAAAAATGTCCAACAGGATATCTTTTAAGATTAATTTGCAAGAATAATGACGCGGTCGAAGATGATGGAGGTTTTCAAAAATTGATTGGCGATTGAAACTAAAACAATAACATGATCATACTCTCGTGTTGAAGACCGAGTTAGACGTCTGCTGCCCAATGAGGTCCAGTTCACATGCCGCAAGAAAGTACGACTTAAAACAAATGAAATCAAGTCTTGCAATCTCACGAGAGCTTCGCGCTCGAAAGCTTTACCCACCCACGCGACTGCGATCGTAAGTAGCCTCTATGAGTTTTCTTCAATCAAATTGTCAATGAAGAGCTAACTTTTACCGCGCTCCTACAAAGCCAACCCCTTCGAAAAGTTACGACCGCGAATGTTCGACGTACATAGCTCCTCCGAGTAGGGCGATGTTTTCCGTTTGTATAATAGAAAGACAATGTAGAGGGTATTCGGAAGCACAGTTTGGCAGTGTGCAGAGCATGCGCGGTCATCGGTGAAAATGACGTCAGAGGATCGATCGGCGCGAGCCGTCGGGAGCTGTCACGGCTGCCGGCTCGCGGAGACGACACGGTTACATAACGGGCCCAGAACCGCGCTTTGAATGCCTGGCGTCGAGACCACGCGCGCTCATGTGCGGCCTAAGCTTTAGAACAAGGAATAGCCCATCGCAGAAGACCTCCCTCAGATGGGGCGATAGTTGCCTCGACTAGGACTAGCGCGCGTGTGACATTTTAGTGTAATTGCCCGAGTATTATGTACCGCGAACGTTACTCGTAAAAGACGTGCGCGACTGAGGGAGGCTATACTGTGGGCTTCACCAGAAGTAAGTATATTCGTGCGATGTGATAAACAATTTGAAATCTAAATTTTATCGAGTACCAAGACGAACGTAAAGAGAAAGGCTTAGTTAAATCATAAGAAAGTTAGTTGTTCTTTTAAACAATTGATCATCTAATCTAAAGTTATTACCAATGAAACATCTATCGTTATACTAAACTATTGGAAATTGGCCCCTTTTATAAAATGAAAAGTGAATAAAGCGTTTTGGACAGGTGCGGGCTCAAACCTTCGAAAATGATAAATATAGCAGGAGTGATATCTATCGTACTGTTCTACGTGTTGATCCTGGCAGTGGGAATATGGGCTGGACGCAAGAAGCCACCGGGGGACCAGTCCGAGGAGGAGGTGATGCTCGCGGGGCGCTCTATCGGCCTCTTCGTCGGAATCTTTACGATGACGGGTAATGCACGGGACGCTGAGGAGCTCAATGATTTCAGTAGCGTTCAATAACAATACTCAAAACATGCTGATAGAATTCTACATCAACTATTTTTCGTAGAATCCTTTACTTTTAGATATTTGATATGTTTTACGATATATAACAAAACAAAGGTTCTTAGCAACCTGGAGCCCCACGCATGGAAATAATGTGACGGTTGTTACAGCGACGTGGGTGGGCGGAGGTTACATCAATGGAACCGCGGAGGCCATATATACATCAGGCCTGGTATGGTGTCAGGCGCCGTTCGGCTATGCGCTGTCACTCGTTTTTGGTAACTTTCCTTTACTTTGATTACCTTCTTAATTATGCTTGACATAACACGACGTGCCAACTCTTACCTGCCCTAATGGCTCGATGGGTGGAATACCAACTTATTACGCTTTCACTTTAAATATACATGAAATGGAATAGGTGGCATCTTCTTCGCGAATCCGATGCGCAAGCAAGGTTACGTGACGATGCTGGATCCGCTGCAAGACTCGTTCGGCGGGCGTATGGGCGGATTGCTCTTTCTGCCGGCACTCTGCGGAGAGGTGTTCTGGGCCGCTGGGATTCTAGCAGCTCTCGGTGAGTCTCTCTGGACGAAACATTATAAATAAACGTGGTTTCGCTATGTGTATTCAAGGATGGGTGAATCTAGAGTCCGATTTACAAATTTTCAAGGCTGCAATGTTATAGAGCGTACAGGCAAATTTAAATACAGTGGAATCTCGATTACTCGAGCCTCGTTTAGTCGAAATCCTCAGTAAGTCGAAAAAAAATGCAATTCCCTTCCGCTATGAACTTCTAAATACGCGGTGTAGTGTATAACAGTTTGGCGTATACTCCCGAGTTTCGGGTACCAGAGACAGTTGCGTATAACAGTTCGGAAAAGTATACGTGATGGTGTTTGCTAATGCTGTAGAGTTAACAGCTTCGATTTGATATAGGTTAAGTTTAAGAGGGAGGCGAGATAACCAAACCCAATGAGTGCTGTAGTGCTACTGATTTATTTCCTATTAATATCGCTTAAATATAATTTACAAGAAAGTAGGAAAGTAGGATGCTCAATAAGCTAACCCTGTAAATTTGCTTATAATATAAACATTGAAGTCAGCACGTCGCTGACATAGATTTAGAATTGTGCTAGCTATGCTATAAAATAATATTATTATAAAAATACAGTAAATTTGTACGGGCGTTTGTCCGTACACGCGGTATCTCGATTTAATTAGACTTTGTAACTCGAACAAAATGTTATTTTCCTGCGATGTATTGATAAGAATATTTATACTCTGTAACTCGAATTCCAAAAAGTAAAATTATTTTCTCGCGCCTTTTAAAATATAAAATAATTGGAAACCAGGTGCGACGTTGGTGGTGATAATCGACATGGACCACCGCACGTCGGTGATCTTCAGCGCCTGTGTGGCCGTCTTCTACACGCTGTTCGGCGGCCTCTACTCCGTCGCCTACACCGACGTCATCCAGCTGTTCTGCATCTTCATCGGGCTGTGGATGTGCATACCCTTCGCGTGGGCCAACCCGCACGTGAAGCCGCTCAGTTCCATGGAAGTCGACTGGATCGGCAGCGTGGATCCGCAATATTACTGGTTCTATGTTGACTACGGCCTACTCTTGATTTTTGGAGGAATTCCTTGGCAGGTTAGTTTGTAGCGGTGACCGACATACATTTTTCTTTTCTATCGAAATCGACACTAACATTATTAAGAGGTAGATTTGTATTTTTCTAAAACGGTCTTATAGAATACTGTGCCGAGTTCAAACATTCTTTCTCTTTTTCATTCTCATTGAAAAGCTAAATTCACCTTAATATAGGCTACCTTTATTACTAGAAAACGGTCGAGATGCTTACTAAAACATTAGTAACGTAACTCAAGGTGTAAAAAATGCAAATAAACATTCAATTATCGCATGAGCTTTGGAAACTATTAGTAATAGAACAAAAACGGAATACTTTGCGATACTTTACGTCTAACTATGGTTGATATTTGTTTAGCGCTATTTGTTACAGTAGCGATTTTTTCTATTTTACAAGTTGATAGAGATATCGATACCACTTCTGTTTTAATTGTTCCAATGCCTTATTCTCAGCCCTAACATCATGAAATATTTCATAATATGTAACGCTTGCAATTATTCTTCTCTACACGCAACTTTAAACTCGTAAAAACGGGACTAGAATTGACTAGCAGTATCGCGGGCTCAGAATATTCATGTTATAGGCTACGCATCGGCCACCTCTTACATAGCGAGGATTCGTATCGACATCCTCTAAAAGACGATCTCTATGCTCTACGTTATAGAGCATTACGTATCTGTATGCTATAGGTCTACTTCCAACGCGTACTGAGCAGCAAGACGGCAGGACGCGCGCAGATCTTGTCGTACGTCGCGGCCTTCGGCTGCATCATCATGGCTATACCGCCCGTCCTCATCGGAGCTATCGCCAAGGGGACGTGTGAGTCACATATTCGCTTATTGTCTATGGCACAATAATTTTAATAATCCGTGTGTACGATATGCGTAGCCTGGAACGAAACCGACTTCCACGGCGAGCTGACTCCGGAAGGTGATCTGACTTCCGAGCAGACCTCGATGATCCTGCCACTAGTGTTGCAGCATCTAACACCGAGCGTAGTATCCTTCTTTGGCCTCGGGGCCATATCGGCAGCGGTCATGTCGTCCGCAGACTCCAGTGTACTCAGCGCGTCATCTATGTTCGCTAGGTGTGCTCCATCACTTTTATACAGAGAGTAACATTTATTTATTTATTTAGAGACCCATCGTTAATACGTCGTTTGTGATCCAGAAACGTGTACAAGCTGATCTTCAGACAAAACGCATCAGAGATGGAAATCATTTGGGTCATGCGCGTGTCCATAATCGTCGTGGGTGTGCTCTCCACCATTATGGCGCTCACTATACCCTCAATCTATGGACTCTGGTATGTGCTCGTCTAAAATGTAACCGATAGTGTTTAATGTACTCATAATCTCTAAATATTATCTCTTTATAGTTTTTTAAAAGTCATTTATAACGATCGACAAGTGGAGTTTCTTTTAAATATTATGTCATGTAGGTTAGAATGAGAAAATATGTTTGAAGGCTTTTGGCTAAAAACAACATCACGAGGCGACAAATAGGAACAGAAATAGTGGGAAATGTGGAACAAACGTGGAAAATTATTGATCTCTGAGAGTTTCCGTTGCGTGGTAAAAGTGGTGGTTTCAAGAAACTAAAAAATATGTATAATAGAATGATTCTTCTTTAAATGATCTAAAATAATGTCCGCGACAGTATATGTTACCTTTTAAGATTAACACGCACGAAGAGCGGGACGCGGACGGCGTCGCGGGTAATAGCTGTAATTTTAAGTAAGTAGAGGAGGTAGGAGGTAGGAGGCTGTTTGCAAAAATCAATAAAATAATGCTCAAAATCACTATTCCACGCGAATGAATTTGCGGACACTGCTAGTAAAAGATAATTATAAACTTATTTACGAATGTAATCACAATTACTACCACGTCTGAGTAATACTACTTATTTAAGAATCATAATCGTAATCGTTTACTAAAACATAGCTTAAATTATATAAGTTCGTCAATCTGTTGTAATTAAGATATTAATTCGATCAATTTAGAACCCGCGCCCCAAATAGAGAGCAAACCGATTGATTTGTTTAATACGGTAATAATAGAAGCGATATTACTAGCTCTGCACATGTCATTACTATCTAACGTAATCCAAGCCAGACTGCCGTCGTCGAAGTAGTGAACGGGTTAAAGAGCGCTGTCCGCTCGACGAGTAGAATAGTTGGCCCCTGGCCTGCACTTCTGGTATATAAAAACGCTAACGACTTACTCATCATTACAGCAAAAACTAATTGCACACAACGTCAATGAAGTTTTAATAGTCACCACTCTGAGAAACGAAGGCGTTTTGTTGGTTATTATCAATATTGTAGTAGAGCTTTAAATATGCCAATATTTATCGCAGCGAGAGCTTGTAAAATTAGTTTCATCGGACCTTTACTATTAATGACTACTTTTTCGTGCGTTTTGTATCGACGCTTTTAATACTCACGAAAATATCTCACCTTGCATTCAACTATGTAACCCGAAGGCGACGTGAGAACCGTTACTTATCGATCAGTAAGCGAATCGAATTACTTGACGATCTTTGCTACCGCTCGCTATTCCAAAGTTGCACGAATTTACACAAACAATCCTCTTGAAAGCGACGTCTTCTTGGCGGCAGGTCGATGTGCTCAGATCTAGTGTACGTGATCCTGTTTCCGCAACTCTTGATGGTGGTGCACTTCAAGCGGCACTGCAACACTTACGGGTCTCTCGCCGCTTACATAGTGGCCTTGTTCGTGCGCTTGTCCGGCGGCGAGAAGCTGCTGGGCCTTCCGCCGCTCATCCACTTTCCGGGGTGGGACGCCGAGAACGAGGTGCAGCTGTTCCCCTTCAGGACCTTGGCTATGGTGCTCTCGCTCTTTACGCTCGCTTTCGTATCCTGGCTGTCCGTGTGAGTATGCTCAGATGAAAGTATTTATAATCCTCTAATTAGGTGAATGTTTGTCCTCAACTCATTTAATTAAATGTCGGGTAAAATGTCACACCCAATACCGACGATTCGGCGAGTGACACACGTAATTGTTACTTTAATGTTGTTCTTACCTGCCGCTAATTTGGACCTCGCACTAGGTTTCTATTCAACTCGGGCTACCTGAGCCCCGAGTCGGACTACTTCAACTGCGTGGTGAACATCCCGGAGGACATTCGGCGCGTGGACGAGCCCTCCGAGGCGTGCGAACAGATGTCGGTGCTCGGGGGGGTTCCCGGCCGCCTCTACGGCGCCGCCTCGACGCTGGTGGGCCCCGACGAGACGTCGGGCAGGATCAACCCGGCCCTAGAGGCCGACGACGACCTCGACGACCCCAACGACGGGCCGACCCCTCTTTTTGGAAACGCACCCCCCCCTCCGGCCCGTTCGCTCGGAAAACAGACCGCCTTCTGAAAAGATTAAGTGAGTGTTTTTGATGCTTTTACGTAGACCGCACCCGACTCAGATATCACTTTATATTAGCCGTTTTGATAAACCCGAGGACGGCACGCGGGTCGCGTCGCCTCCAGAGCGTCTTCGCGAAGACTAGACGGGACCCGCGCGCGAGGTGCCGAACGCTCAACGATGGACATCTTCCGAATGCACAAACATCGCAACTCTATATTTTTATGGAACATAGCGACGGAGTGAAGCAATAAATATCCTGTAGTTTAACTTTAAGTAAATTTCTTTCATAGGTGTTAACGAACTGTGCGCGCCACGCGACCGTCAACTTTGCATACATATCATGTTGTGACTCGGTGTTAGTGTACAATAAATATATCGGGAGATCCCTTTTGTGTCAATCGTGGGTCGCGGGCGAAACTATTCCTAGAGGGTGTGACGTAAGCAGATATGCATACAAATTGTACTACGTTTATTTTACGGCCTTAAGCTTAAGCGTAACTCGACAGAGATTATGCCTAATGTAACGAATACATATCACTCGGCACAAAGTACGTATGTAACAGAGCGTGTAGAAGCATTTTCTGTAAGGTAGATATTTTTATATTTTTACAGTGAATGTTATATGGTTTCTACAGACGATATACAGACGATATGTCGAACGTTATCGCCTTAGAGGAAATATTTGTTGGTGGTCGACAGCCGCGGCGGCATATTTTTTGGACCAGTCTATACTATGTATTTCTATTCCTAGCCATGGAGATTGTAAAAAATTCTCATATATCTGGATTGCATTCTAAGCTATTCTAATTGACTTCTGAATTATTTTTCGTCGCCGAAACTGCAATTGTTACGATAATGTCCTTTTTTATCGGAACTTGACTCAGGCGAACTTTTAGAAAGAGTTGATTTTAAGATCACGTGAAATATAAAAAAGATATATATATATATATACTGTTTTCGGTTCCAAGAACCCGTACAAGTGTGATTTCAATTAGCACAATAGTCCTGAAGTTGTATTCGTACGTGCAGAGTAGAAGTAGCAGCTTTGAAGGGAGACGGGTACCGGTCATCTAGTCCTATAAGATTGTATTTTGTATAGATGGTGTGTATCGATGTTCAAATTAAACGTTCCCTTCCCTCCGAAGTCTAAATCCTTGAAGTATTATCTCATACGACGCTTTACTATTGTATCAGAATGTTGTGTGTTTCAAAAATCACTATTTACATTATATATTCGATGAATTTATTGGCTTTCTAAAGTATATTATATCGTTGAATGTATTCTATAGGTGTACAAGTATATTATATATTTCGAGCGGAAGAGGCGATGTATAATAAAAGGTCCCCCGATCGAGGTTATTACATTATATGCATACATCGCCTCTCGCGGTTCGTAAAAGTTGTGATGGATCGCTGTAGACACGCGATGTAACGAAACATATCATTCCAGACTTACTACTTATCGCTGTTAAGATAAATGTGAATATACGATAGACTTAGACGAAGCATATCACTAATGTTAAGTGTCTAGATTATATAACTGTTGTTGTTTCGACGTCGTCGGCCGTCGCTCGCGCACGCGCCGCTTCTCTAAGCATTTAAGGTTCCGAGGGAATTAACTAAGCGTGGGTACAATTTAACGATGTTTTCACTGAAATGACTTCCCTTTGGGAGTGTCGAAGTTTCGTAATGGAGAAGAGCGCGTGAAGCCGGGCGGCGGTCGGCGACCGGGCCACTGTTAGCTATTAGATATATACCTATTGACTTATTCCTAGTTCTTGTTGATCACTTGAAATGTGTATAAATGTGTATCGTAGCGGACTCCGCAGTAATCTGCGTTCCCGACAAAATATAGTATGTTGACTGGCTGCTTTGTTTCATTCCAGCGATAAGGCGGTTGTATTTACATTCGTTTATTCCATACAGAACATCTCTTACGACTACGTTTGTACAATTAAATATAATGTCTTTCACAATTAAATAATACTCGGACGCGAAAGTACTCGACTTGCTCGTTATTTGCTTCGGCTCATTGGCTCGTCGTTAGCGAAGCTGCAGAATTAATTGAAGCGTGTGCTTGAGACGATTCAGGGCAATCCTCGAACGCTCCCTTCTCAATTTAGGTACGACAGCGAGTCTAATCGGTCCGTTATCGGTAAAGCTGGTAATGTCGAGTCGAGGCACGCGTCGGCCCTGGACTCGGTTATTCTCACTCTTTCAAATATCTTAGTACACGTAGCCGCCGTTGGAGTCGTAACTTTGGTTGATGGTAGCGGGAACGCCGCTCGGGTATCCGCCGGATCCGTGACCTCCAGATGAGTAGCCTCCGGAGCTACCCGAGGAGTGGCCACCCGAACCACCGGAAGAATAGCTAGATCCACCAGATATACCAGATAAACCCCCGGATCCGTGGCCGCCGCTTGGAGTACCGTAACTACTCGACGGGGTTCCGTAAGAACTGGACGGAGTTCCGTAGGACGTCGATGGGGCCCCGTAGGAAGAGGATGGTGTTCCATAGCTGTTCGACGGGGCAGGCGCACCGTAACTAGATGATAAACCGCCGGACCCGCTCGATCCAAAGCCGCTGCTTCCGAAACTGGAACTGCTGAAGTCACTGCTTCCGTGGCCGGAACTAAAGCTGCCGCTGTGGCCGGAACCGCTCGAACCAAATCCACTTGAAGGGGCACCATAAGAAGAAGACGGTGCCGGGGCCCCATAGGAATCAGTAGGGGTACCGTAAGACGAGGAGGGAGGGGCGGGAGCGCCATAAGAGCTAGAAGGTGCACCATAAGAACTTGACGGAACTCCTAATGACGACCCAGAGAAAGATCCCGACGAGCCTGAGAAGCTCGAAGAAGGTGCTCCATAGGTACTCGAGGGCTTAGGGGCCCCGTATATTGAGGATGGCCCAGTTGGAACTCCGTAACTTGTAGCCGGGGGCCTCGCCGGAGCGCCATAAGTTGGTTTAGGAGGTCCATACGAGGAAGAAGGACGTGACGGTGGCCCGTAGCTCGAAGACGGTGGGCCGTACGTTTGTTTGGGAGGTCCGTAGGTTTGTTTGGGAGGTCCGTAGCTCGGCTTGGGAGGTCCGTAACTCGATTTCGGTGGACCATAGCTGCTGGACGGTCTCGGAGCACCGTAGGTCGACGACGGTTTGCCAAATCCACCACTGGACGGCGGTAGGTAAGAGGAACTTAAGGGCGCTGCGAAAAAAGGGGTTTGCGCTTTACGATCATATTCAAATTTGTTTTTGATCCTATTGATTTGACCCTAACTTATGTCATAAGACACGACACAAAACGCTTATGATCTTTGTTATTATTATTATTGTCCAGTAATTACCATCTCGCTTGTAGTGCTTGCGCGGTGTGGCAGAAGCTAGAGTAGTAATCAGCAACACTCCCACAGCCTGAAAGAAAAGCAATACGACACAACATTATATTACAAATACTGCGAAAAAACTCTTTTTTTACCGGTAAAACGGGGCACACACAACAATATGTTCGTTATGTCCTTTAATGATTTACTTTGTTTGCAGCAAAAAGTTGGAAGACTTCTATGGCAAGCCCAATGTTAGACAAGAATAATATATATAGCAACGATAAAAATCTGCTCCAAAATAATTCTACGTTTTATATACGAGAAGGTCGCATTATACGAACCCATCACATATTAAAGAAATACCTCTTAGCTAATGAACTTATACAACAATTGTGGTAGGATATTGCGAGAGCCAATTGTAGAGAGAGCTGTGTGTGCAAATTGAAGGTGTATTTTGGCAAGTAGGTGCGAAGGTTCATCGGATTGTGTATTAAGATGCCTGATTGAAAATTATGTTTTATTATTATTGAAATGTATTTTGTCGAGAGACGTTTTCGCGATTTCGCTGCATGCAGCCCGCGTAATGCTAATGGACGCTCAATACTCCGAAGTTATCTTCGAGACGGATGAAAGTTCGATTCAACGTATTCGATGCAGCCGCTTTATACCCGACCGGAGCTGCTTTCCAGCATAAAACATATAAGATTTATCTACGACGTAGCGTCCTTCGCGCGCTGAATTTCGATTTGAGTAATTTAAAACGGTGCTTACGGAGCGAACGTTTAACGTGAACTCGAAGCGTGACGTATTTTATAATTACGCAGTTTTAAGAAATTCTAACGCTTCTCTTACGCAAGAATGATGAGGCAATACGGAGAACAAAGAAACAAGCGACACTCGCATATTGGGCTGCGACTGATTGAGGCATTTTTAATTATGTGCATTAATGACTATAAATTGATCAATGAGCCTCGTGCCGGTGACGAGCGAAATCGTTTTCCAAGTTTTCCACCGCTCCCATTCTATTTCACTTTTACATCAGCGAGAACGAGCAGAAACGTATTTCGATCGTCAACGTGTGAAATGAGAAGGAGCTTCGTCGGAACGGGAACTCGGAGGTCGGATGCAGTCTGAGAGTTATTGTTCCCAAATTGTGGCGACATTTCAATTTATGGCGCGAATTCGCGGAACAATGGCGCTTCTTTTTGTTGCGAAACGAATGAACCGCCGAGAATGATCCGCGATCAATTCACACGGCGTTCGTTTGGAGGAAGTCGCGATGGGTGATCGCGTTGGCGGAACTCGGGATTCCTCCGCATCGCTTTCCAACGTTTTTACTAACGTTTACTCGTTACTTTTTAAGCGGCGAGCGCGTACAAGAGCGTGAGCGAAGCGGAAATGAAACCGAATTAATATGTGCGTTCCACGTGACCCGTTATAGTTTGACCGAGATCTTATAATAATTAATAATGAGCGCTAATTTATGCGCATAAACGGAGGAAATCGTAGAATTATGCATAGCACTGAATACTTGAACACGGTGACATAACTGCATAGAAAGTAAGAGTGACGAACGATCGCGGTCGCGACTGATAGGCGTACATCGACGGCTCACGTTCCGACGGATGGCAGCTCGTCCGCCATCGGGAGCGATGTATAGCGTCGATCGAGTTATGCAACTGCGGGCGAATAAGGTTATGTGAACTATGACCCAGCTTTTACGTGGCTTTTTATACGGCTTTACAACGAATGAGCACTGTGTTAGACGTTTAGAGGCTTTAACTTTTCTATGTGTCAATAAATCTAATTCGTCGAAATTCCACCCAATGGCGTTAGAGTCGAGCGTATGGTTCTGACGCCAATTACATAGTCAACTTTTATTGACACCGTGTTCCCAATATTTTGACCCGTCTATTTGGGTTAAATGCTGTAAACAATGAGATAACGAGTGAGACCTGTCGAGTGCCTCGCTCTCCATCTCCAGACTGCGGACTCACCGCGACTGATTCTCTCACTCGTGTAGTCTTCGCGGAACTAATAACTCTTCAGCGCACTTGTTTCATTATATTTGGCTTCGGTCTGGACGACTTCAATAAGCACTTCGCTTTGTAATGTTATATGTTTCGAGGTGCTTAAAAGCAGTTTGAATTTAGAGCGTTCTGATAAATACGTAATCCATGTGGCAACAATAGGCTGAAAACATGTGAAAGTGCATATAAATAAAACAAAAAGTGATTAATAGTCATAAGTAGAGAGCCGAAGCGACCCTTCTTAAAGGGAAATCTTTAATAATGACGTCCAATTAGGGCGAAATGGGCTACGACCCGCTCCCGCTACGAGAGTGGAACGAGACTCGGTGACAATTCGTGAGAGACAGTTTGTTAGGCTCACAATCGCCTTACGCGACGAATATCTCATGTTTCCTTACAATACAAAGCGTTCAGTGCGATTGTCTACATTGGTGGCGTAAAAAGTTGCGAACTGAGAACACGCCACACTCAGGAAACAGTCGTCTGTCGGTTGTATACCATTATCTACTGCGTATTTTTATCTCTCGAAGAGCAATTCGTCTACGCCAACACTTAAGATTTTGTCCAGATTTAACCTTGCGGAGAAACAAAGGTGTTTATTACGGAGAGATTGTCGGAGCGATAGGCTGTGTGCTAAAATTTCTAAGCGAGGAGCGACGTCACCGAGAGGTTTATCGCGATGCGCGTACGCTTCCGCGTGCAACGTCACGCGGCCGACACGCCCTTGACCTTTCTCGCTACTTTCTACGCATTCTCTTGATTGTTTTTATAGTCCTGACACGAAGCGAACGCGTTTGCTGTTTCGCGTTCCAAGTTATTCGTCTGTAAAAAATCGTTGAAGCTTCCGCCTACGTGATTTAAATTCGGTCTAGTTCGAGAGGTCGAAGCGTGTTAACGATCGTTTGTGGGACGCTTTTCCCGTAAGCCCGCAATGAATGGCTAACAATGAGCGCCGTACCGCACCGCGTGGCGCAAGTCTTACGTAACGCAGCTTTGATGACTTCGGATGAATCGCGGCTTTAAGATATGGCGCTAATCTAACATTGAGTTTGCCAAACAACGAATACATTGACATCAGATCGTGTACATTTCGAATTCGCACCAGAGAAAATAGAGGCCTGTACCGAGACTAAGGAGAAGCTGATTATTCTGAAATCGTGGTCGGAACATTCCGAGCCTCATAAATGAAATATAAGCACTGAGGTCGACTTATTTCGGTCTTAGCAGAACAAGCGTGAACCGTGAGTTCAAAATCCTGTCCAGTGCTATTCGACAGCGATTAAATATTATAAATGCTTAGCGGCACTTGGCCACTGCGTTTATAGAAGACCACAGTCTTACTTTATATTTTTAGCGCGCCCTACATTCGAATCGATGTAAGCAGTATCAGAGTTTTTAAATAAGGTTTTTACCTATTTTTTCACAATTACACATTCTGAGTGATTCTAATCCGAATCCATGAGAAATGACTTCATTTTCTCAGCAATAAGGGTACTTTTGAAACTTTAAATTGTATTCATGTTATTAGGCATTTCGCTATTTCGAGCGCGAATAAATCAATATGTCTGCCCGCATTCAGCGCTCGGCTCAATTCACAGTTATACAGAATATAAATATAGAAAAATCCCTTTCAAACATTTAACAACATACTAGACGTTATTTATATTTAGGAATAAACGACATTTCCTATTTCTACAGCTGCTATAAATTGTATTCTCCCCGTAAGATAATATTGTTTCATTGCTCGGCAATGGACTTTTAGAATGTCGTTTGTGAAGAAAAATGAGCTCGGCCTATCGTTTACTACCTTTTTGTAAAAAGGATAAATATGAGAGGAAAGAATATCGTTCCCGTGTCCCCGGGAATTATTTATTCTCACAAGCACATTTCCGCGTAAAATTAAGGTCGATGCTAACTTACCATCATCCGAAGTCGTGTCATGATGTCAAAGTCAAAAGACAGCCTGAAACAGAGACGGTCGATTAAAAGCGATTTAACGTTTCGAGGGGGCAAAATGCCCGTCGACGCCCAGAAGAGATGTCGTATTAAATTTAGCAAATGTTCAAGTACATTTAAGTGAGTAATCGTAGTTTGCCAGGAAAATGCGGACGAATTGTGGTTGTCTAAAAATCCTTTCAGTCACGATTTCTAAATTACACAATCATTATTCTACGAGTATAATGATGAGTTGCGGAACTTAATTATGGACTAGATACGGCACGTGAATGATAAAACCGATTATAATATTCATCTTTGCCTAATTATGAAGCCCCTACCGATGTGTAGAAGAAAAAGGCTACACGTTCTTACTTCCGATTTTATTGCTATTTTTCACGTACCTGGCCCAAACGAGAAATCTACACGTATAACTGACTCAGTTTGGCTAAATGATATTTCAAAGATGTCATTATAATTTTGTAATTCCAGTTTAATAACTAACTTTTTTGTAAATTACAATATCTATAAATTAAACGAGCACTGGACGTACCCTTGCGTGAGTTATCCGAAAACCAAACAAGATGTTGCGAATAAAGAGATACGTGAAGCGAGATGTCGCGCACTGCGGCCCAACAACACATCCGCGGTATATAAGCCCTCCCCTACTACACTCGCTGTCGCTAAACAATTATTCCAACTTTATATCTGGTATCACTCGCCTAGTATTATTAAGAGTCTACCTTATGTTATAAAGATGAAAACATAAGGTAGACATCGATTACGATGGGCTTTTGTAGCATATTATGTAAATGCTCGAATTTTCAAATTGTATATTTAAATTTAAAATGCTAACAAAAGTATTTCCACCTTTCATATTGTTTTTATCAAAATATAGACTGTATAGAGAAACGTGTATTATATTTATCTTAAAATAGTTTTGTAATGCTACAAGGCACGCGATAACCATCAAATTCTTCACATATCATTAGGGAGAAAGTCACAAAATGGAAATTTAATACAGAATTTAAGAGATTAACGTGTCTGATTGTCGACGATTCATTGTTTAGTGCGTTTAAAACAATAACATATGACTGAGAGGTTTTTTTTTATAAAATGTTGAAAAACTTGATGTGAACGCGCGACGGTAGATTTCAATTCTGGAAGAAAAAAATTCGTAGCTTCAAAGGGAAGCTCTGGATACCCATGTGTTTACTTCTCGTGTCTCTTAAAACTTTCAGGTGGTGTACCTGAAAGCCTTAGGAGTAGGAGATCTGTTCGCAGGTTGAGATGTGATGGTAACCGGTTGCCTTTGAATCGCCGACACGATCCAGACTCGGCCTTATCGGCACTTTACGTCCACGTCCGCAACGCCATTAGCAAGGAAACGCGGATCTTCGCGACATGTTTTATTCTTACTAATGTAGAAACGTGTAAAAACTATCTAATCTTATCTTGTACATGAGTCCGACGACACGAAACTTTTACCTTTTTTCGGAAATAAATTGGCTTTTTTAGATTTTGTTTAGGCTCTCCTTTACTGTATTTTGTAACAATATGAAGATATTTAGTTAGGGGAATTTAACTTATTTTATTACGAAAGTTGTTTTCCAAACGAATAAATATTTTTTTATGTACTGCGATTTATAATTAGGAATACTCACGGTCGCTTTGAAATAAAACATTACACGGCTTTCGTACCTCAGCCTAATAATTTATAATTGTAGAATACAAAGAGATCGTTGGCTAGTAAATCCGCGCGGAGCTCGATAATCAGTTTTTCAATACGAAGAAGCAAAATCTCTTTAAAAAATTTTGAAGGAACCTACAAACACACGTTTCATCGCTAGCCGTGTATTCCCACAAGTGAGAACGAGCTGCATCCTGGGTGTGATCTCGACCGAAGTGGAGCACCATCGGCGATGCCCGCCGCGTCCTTTTGATCCGCACTCTTATGCATTAT